TGCTCTGCTGACTCTCGCATCATGCGCAATTTTATGTCAAACGTGGCGTATGCGTAATTTTTCATTTGCCATCATCCGCCGCCCGCGCACTTCTTTTTTAAATGATTTTTCTCTACGCCCAAGCACTTTTAACTTGAAAATGAGAAATTAAATTATTTGCTGCTAATGTCTAGAGGAGCGCGTGTAAGGGTTGTTAATTGTAGTGCGGGTGTGGGTGTGCTTGGGTTGGGGTGAGGGTTGTTCTTTTCAAAAGTGCGCAACGGAAATGATACAGCAAAAGCGCAAAGCAGCAGCCGGCACACACACACACACACACACACACACACGTACACACACACGGCAGCTTGGCCAAAAAGCTGAAATGAAAACTAAAACTCATTTCTGCCAAATTAAACTGAACAGCGGCAACGGCAGCTACAAATATGAGTTAAAAGCAAAACGCTGGGGCACATGTGTGCGCAGTGTTCGCATCTCAAATGTAAAATTAAAAGGCATTTCCGCAAAATGTCAGCGTCATATTGTAAAACATGAGTATTTAATTAGAAAATACTTTCGGGCTGACTCACAGCAGCAGCAGGCAACAGTCAGGACCTGCACAGTTTCCGTTTAGCTGCCCCACTCCGTTTATCTATACACAAGTGTGTGTGTGTGTGTGTGTGTATGTGTACTAATGAATTTCGCCAGTGAACAAGTTTGTGCTTTTTAACAACTTAACATAGTCGCATATATTGTACAAAATACCTTTTTCCTTAGTATGGCAAGTGGAAAGCGGCAAAGCGTTGCATTACCTTGGCGAGCAGCGCGGCGAGACGCCGAAACGCGACGCGCAACAGCTGAAAACTTTGCATGTATGCCGCATATTAACACCGAACATCTAGCAAAAACTATGAACGTGGGGCAGGGTGCGAGTTCAGTGGCAGCACAAAATGTGTTGCCTTAAATTGCCGACAACAGCAACAACAGCAACAACAACAACAGCTATACAACGACTGTGCTAATGGCCACGCATTATTCAAAGTCTCGTTCTCAGATTGTCAGCGGGATAAGCAGCGGGCATGGGTGTTACGGTGGGGTTGGGTGGGGTTTGGATGGGGTTTCTAGTTGTCCACTGGGCATGTCAAAACTCATTTGCCGTTAACGAGCAGCCATTGTGCTTATAAAAGGATTATTTACAAATCACTGACTCTCAAAAATTGTCAACTGCAGGGCAAATGCCTGAACGCGACCAAAGCCCCAGCCACGCAGCCGCTGGCGAATGCTTTGATCTACAATTTATGGAATTAACCCTTAAGTGCTGCCTGCCGGCAATTGTTGCTGCCGCTGCGGCGGCTGCTGCTGTTGATTTCCTGACAGAGACATCAACTTCTCAGTGAATGCTTCATTTCAAGTTGATTTCTTTTAGCTGATTACGCGCCGGCATTACGGAAACAGGATGCAGTGCCACTGATTGTTATGACTACACCACACTACTCAAAAACGGGTCTGGGTTGGAGCTGTGCGATGAGTGTGACTTGAGCGTAAATTGACTTGCATTCCATTTACCAGACACACTGTCTGAGGCCATAATGCTTTAAGCCGTTTAAACAGCTAGCTGTCAGTAGAAAAGATTGGGAGAGCAAGAGGAAGGGTGGCCGCTCTGACTGGCCCTTAATTGATACCTTTGTTTGCATTGCGGTCACTCTAATTGGTGTTTGCATGCGGCTTGAAGTCTTGTGTAAATACGGGCTGACCAGACAGACGTTGCTTCTTTGTAATTTTGCGTGCGTTCTGTTTGCTCATTAAACGCTTGCAGGCAACAATAGCAACAGCATGAGAGAAACAACAACAACCATAACAACAACAACAACAACAAGAGCAATGTCATCAATTAGCAGCTGGCCGTCGTCATCGAGTGCCAAGTTTGCGCAAAAAATTGACAGGCTTGAGCGACTTTGCGGCACTGCGGCACCTAATGAGCAAACGTATAGAGCAGCTCGCATTCAACCATTCTACATATCACGCCACGCCCACTGCTTAGTGGCACTTAGAAGCGCATGTCAAAAGTTATTAGCCTCAGCTCAAATAATTCGCTGTTCTGTGCCAGAAAGCTGATTACTAAATACATAGTACAACATATAAACAAAGTCATTTGGCCAGCTCAAGGGCTCCTTTGGCAATAACAAAATTCGCTGCCAAAAGTTTTCTTCACCCGCTGCTGTCGTTGCCGAATCCTGGCACAAGCATGCGTTCGATTTATATATAAATGTATATATATATTATACATATATATATCTCACTGCATGCTGCCTGCCAGCTTGTTCGATTCCTTGTCAATATCCTTGCGCTGGCAACATATTCTTGCCTCATAAGTAGACAACTTTTTCAGCTGTCCTGTCGCTGCCGTCAAATACGTGAGGGCGTTAAACTCATACATTACTTTAGCCTTTATCCTATCTGCTGCTATACTTAACTAACTGCTGTCTGTGTGAGAGTGTGTGTGCGTCCTAGTCTGCAACATTTTCGCACATTTTTTGCTAGCTGCGGTTCGCATCTTTGTGGATGTGTGTCAAGAGTTGCCAATGGAAGCAGCTTCTTTATTTTATATTTTTTTTATTTATTTTGTTCCTGCTGCCGAAGCATTGAAAATAAATTTATAACGCATACGTCATGTGAGCCCCGCGCAGTTTTGCACTTTATTGCATTTGTCGCTGGTATTGCAAAACTTCAATAAATTATTTTATTGCGACAGTTATTTTGGTTCTCTGCGAGATGTTGTTCGTAGTTTTTCATTTCATGGATTCACTTGAGCAGCAGATATATGTATATATACATATGTATATATATCTCTATGCTGTGGCATATCTGGCTGCTGTCATTTCCCATTTGCTTTGCTTTTGCTACAAATTGCAAATGACTTTATGACTTTTTTCTGTTATCTGACGAACCGACAAGCCGAGAAAAAGCCACACAGCTGCACACATCCATACATAACATATATGTCCATATATATTCTTGTATAATAAGCTTGCCGGCTATGAAATTGATTCTGTGCCTCGCATAAGCTTGGAATTGCATAATAAATTTGTGCAGAATGCATAATGAACGTTACATTTACTCGGGCATATATAAATTATGTGTCTATCGCAATGAATGCGCGCTTAGGAGTCTATAATCAAATACTAAAAATCAACTTAAATCAAGGCAGTAAACTCACAAGTCCAACTTAAGCTAATATCCAGCTTTAAATTTCCAGCTTGCAACATCATTAAAGAGTGCGTTTCTTTTTATCTCTGCCTCTCGGCCAATCTCTGGGTTCTATTCTTAAATGAAAATTTTCAGGTATTGCCGCATAAAAAGCCCCAAAAAAAAAAAAAAAACACGTGGGAAACCCATCAAAACTTGACACTTTTCTGGCAAACGAGCGCCCTTAATAAAAAAAAAGTCAAACAGTCAAGCGGCAATGGCAACAAGCAAACAACAACAACCAACACCTTTGGCGCCTTAAGCGCACAATGTAAAAATTACCTCAGTAAAGAGGAAAAAACGGAAAGAAAGAGCCTTCGAGCGGGCAAAAGGCTAGAATGAAAAAGGCTTTGCGCGGGGTGCCAAGAGGCAATAAGTAGCAAAAATTACGCTAAACGCAGCAATTTCCTGGTAAATTGCACAATACACACACACTCGCACACACACACACACATACACACACTGAGAGCTGTGTGTGTTTTGCCTAGGAATATAGCCAGGTGGCGGCATAAAATTCAACTATAAATAGGGCATAAAACACAGAGGCGCAGACATTTTATAATGCGCAGCGTGTCGCATCAATGAGTAGAGCCTTGAAGAGGAGAGGAGTGGGCACGCTTGAAGGTGTCTGATGGGGAGGGGCACACAGGCTGTCAATTTCCTGCAGCACACGCATGTGTGAGAGGCAGCGTGAGAATTTTAATGCGTGTCATATTTGATTGATGCCAGCGCGGTAAGCGTTTGCCCCACGTTCGTTCTGGTAGCCCTGGCAACAATGTCAAGAGTTCAGCATGGCCCCAAGCGGCACTTCCAAGTGTGCAAAAGTGGCCCCTGCAGGTATGCAGCGGAAAAAGTGCGTGGCGCCAATTTCATGTCCTTGGATAAAAATCATTTGCTTGTCACTGCGCCATGTGTCTGTGTGCACTGGTGTGTTTATTGTGTGCATGTTGCGTAATTTAGCGCCGCTTCTTGCTTAACAATTTTATCGCTCTCTTGTTTTTTGGCTGTCGGAAAGGGGATTCAGAGTTGGGTTACGCAATTTACTGCCACTAGGCAACTGCCTGCCAAGCTGTAAATATTTGCACACACATACACACATAGAAGGGGGTGCTTTTTACAGTTGTGTGTCGAGACTAGCACACAACCAGAACCACGCACACTCACAAGTTTGTGCCATAATTTATGCCAAGACAAACGATGTGGGTGATGGGAGGCTGGCGAGTGTAGACCAGGCTGTAAGTGCATTAGGCGAACGGTTTTAGTGCCCTAAGGGGGCCTCGACTTAATAATTTGCGCGAATTGGCGTCAAGCGGCAAACTAATTTGAGTTAAGCGCATTGTACACACACACACACCCCTACACACCCAAATACACACACTCAGTGTAGAAACCATATTGTTGACTACATAAGCTGTGCCTGAAGCTAACCACACACGTTTGCTTTAAACTTACTTACTAACACGGCCTGGCCTCTAACAAAGCCGAATTAAACAATTATTTAGCATTTAAGCATCTAGCACGCCCTCGACAATGTCCACCACGCCCATCGCCCAGCGCCAACATCAATAACCATCATTAACCAGCTCATAATAATCGTTAGTTAGTTATTAGAATATCGTAAATCGTAGACCCTGAAATCCTTTCGAGTGGTTGCATCAATCCGCTTCAAAACTGCACCAAATCGCATTTACACCCACCCACCACCACCATACGCCCACCCACGTTGGATACGTTTATGTAACTTTCATTTTGCTGCCTGTTTTGCTGTTTGTTTGCAGGATGGACAACGCGGCCATTTAGAGGGTCTTGCATCCGTCTATTGCGAATTGTTAATGGCTCCCTTTGGAGACATTTTGAGTGCTTTAGAAAATGCTAGACAAGCAGCATGGGCGGAGCGCAGTCCGCTCCATCCCGCCGGCGGCAGCAGCGGCGGCGCCAGCGGCAGCGGTGGCAGCGGCCTCAGCGGCAGCGCCGGCGGTAGCGGCAGCGCCAGCGGCGGCATGCAACATCGCCAGCAGCATGGCCATCGCGGCCATTCAACGCACGGCGCCGGCCTGCCCAATAGTCATAGTCAGCCAATTTATGTGCCAGGAAAGTACTCGGTATGTATGCCAGCAACAACAACAACTACAACAACAAGAACAACAACAACACAGACTGGGCCCCTTAGCACAAAAAACGAGAAAAAAAAAACAAAAACAAATAAAAAGAAATGACATTATTTGATTTAAATATTTACAGAAGTGGTTTAAAAAAATCAAATTTATTGATGTTGGCGTTGATTTGGCAAACAGAAAAATATGATTTAAAAATTTAAAGAGATAGTTTTTATGAATTATAATAAAATTTACGAAAATGATTTTGTAAATATTTGTAAATTAGTGTTGTTTGTTTTCGTTTTGTTTTGCCTTTGCCGCATGTTGCATGCTTACTCATTGCATTCTTAGCATGTGATCTGCAAATACAGTCTCTAATATACAGTACCTCTTGCCCGCCTTTTACAGCCCTCTAGCTGCTTGTCCGACAAGGAGGAGGATGAGATCTATGGCTTTGGCTATGGCGTCTTTGCGCCGCGAGTGGCACGCGGCGGGTTGACACAACATCAGCAGCTGTTGCAGCAGCAAACGTTGCAAACGCAGCATAGCATACAGCAGCAGCAGCAGCAACAGTTGCAACAACAGCAGCAACAACTACCAAATGTGCCAGGCCAACAGGCGGGAGGACAGCCCGGAGTTGGAGCACAACAACATCAGACACTCCCGCCAAATGTAGCGCATCTCAACTTTGTGCAACAAAAGTGAGTAGAACAAAATGAGAGCGAGAGAGAGAAATGATTGCAACAAAGTTAGTTTCTCAAGAATTTACAATATTTACGAACTTTTTCCAGAAATTTTGATAATCAAATATTTTTCTTGTTGCTGTTGCAGCTGCCTGAGTCCCCGTTCCGCATATTTCTATGAGTTTCCACCGACTGCAGGTGAGTTCAATTTCCAAAAGCCTTTACAGTTCACCAATTCCCTGTCTTTTTTTTTAAATGTAACTCTCACACCGACACACACTCACACACACAGAGGGACGCGAGACAAAGAAGCGCACAACGTTGGCCCGATTGCTGAAAGGCTTAAAAACTGTCAATCGAAGGGATCGCAGCAATCAACAAAATGGCGCACAAGCCAGGGTAAGTTTCTGTCTATATCCCCAACCTAAGACCCTAAACCCCCCAGTGCCCCTCCCACTGCAGCTACAACTTGTACAAGTTGAGCTCGTTTTCGTGCTTGGTTTTATGACCGCAAGCAAATTGTTTGTCCTTTTGCCTTTCATTTAAATCAACTGCGGTAATTCTTTCAACTTATTTGCGCAGAGTTTTTGCTCCGTTGTAGTCCTTCGTTCATTTCATAATATTTCGTTTTGTAACAATTCCTTGACTCTATCCCCCTACTAGCCAGTCATCACCCCCTCGCTTGTCGTTTTATGACTTGCTGCTGTGACTGCGTCTTGGCTGATGCCGCTGTACTTAATCTTGGCCCCGGGGACATGTAAATTTTTATGCGCGTCGAGAAATCCCACGCCAGCTGAAAAGGTTAAAAATGTGCCCGCTGCTGTTTCAGCTCCTGCTCCTACTCCTGCTCCACAGCTGCTCAGCTGCTGCTGTCATTGCCTGGCGGCCATGTCTACATTGCCACTTTTTTCTTGGCAACAGCATAATGTGGCACTGTGTGCTGGTATGTAGCCAGTTTATCTGCGCATTCTCCACAAAGGATACATTCAGGCGCTGAGCGCCTTTGATTAGAGCCCAGCCACCTTTGGGGAGCCGAGCGGCAGTTCTGAGTAGACTTTGCACCCACTATTCTTGGGGGGTGCACCTGGCAATGAAACTGTGGCCTAAGATAACGCTGCCGTTACAGGACGTCGTTGCCGCTCATAAATAAGCAAGGACATGCATAAATTTTTCATAAGCAACGAGCACACGAACGCAACAAAAAAGCAGAAAAAAAATAAAATAAAAACCAGTTATAGTGCTCTTCTCGGGAGTGCTCGACTGGGAGATACTCTACACGCATCGCTGTGAGAATCACTATTTCATCAAACATTTCATATTAAGTTCGGTATTTATTTTCCGAGGCCTAAAGGCCCAAGGCGCAGAGGGGCCTCTGAAATGAGGGAGGTGAAAAGTTGAATACGATATTATGAATTATAAATGAAATATATTTCGACAAATATGCTTACACATAATATACTTGAATACATAAGCAGTTTCTAATCGAAAGCGTTTGTAGCCCACGAATAGACAGACGGGAAGAATACATATATCATATGGGGCTCCTTTTGCCTGTTACACACATTTAAACCCAACCATTATACCCTATTTACCCATTTTCATTGGGCTTAGGGTATAAAAAGAAAACAGAATAAAAAACGAAGCTGCCAGCTGAAAATAAATAATAAAGCGAGCGAATGAAGAAGTGAACGAGCTAAAAGGGCTGCCAAGGGGGGGGGGGGGGGGGGGGGCGTGGGCTACGTGCAGCAGATAAGCGCAGGAAATGACTAAGGATATGCGCCTAAGTAGCAGCATCCTTCCACATATAAAAAATTGCCTTTCAAAATATAATTAAACAGCACTCACCTGGCCATGGCCCATGTGTTTCATCGCCTGGAACTCCGCCCAGCTGATTTGCTATTTATGATAAGAAAACAAACGCATTAGATGGCCATCAGCAGGAAGAGGGAGTGGGAGTGATAGTGGGAGTGGGAAAGCGAGTGGAAATAGGAGCGAGCGAACTGGAGTGCCCTGAATTGGGTTGCAGGGTCGCAACTCTCAACACTTGGGTCGCGACCCTCGTTGCCCTGACTCGTTATTAATTAAAAATTAAAGCCCGGCTGAAAGGTGTGAAATACAAAATGGCGTCGTAATGGCGATAAAGCACGTGGAGCCCGCCACACTGATTTATGAGTCTCTTTGCTGGGTCATCTCGAGCACTCACCGCACTCAGCGCCTTTTGAAGGTCTTTGTGCATATTTTAAGGGCAGCTGCCACTGAAGTTGCCACGAGTTAAGAAGCCGAAACTTTGCTGGCCAGCAAAAATTGAAAGAGTTTTCAAAATTGAAATTTTAATTGATATCGATACCTTTTCATTTGCATACTTTATAGGCGGCCAACGATCGTCTGCGACACTTTCAAATGATAAACGGCGGCGCTGGCGTGCCGCAGCAGAGTTTCGAGGAGACAATCCATAGAGTAAGTATGCAATAAATATGTATGGACTACATGGTAGAATGGTAGAAGCAGGAGCAGCAGCAGCAGCAACAGCAGCGGCAGCGGCAGCAGCAGTTGCATAAATATTTATGCAGTGCAACGCATTTTGGTGCTGTTTTTGTTGCAAGCGGCAACAGCTGCCACAGCAAACAAAATTACTTCAAAATTGTTTGCAACAACAATAAGAATGTTGCACACCTACTTATTCCACAGTCTGGTGCAGCACCCTCGCTGCCGTTGCATTTGCAATGCAATTTCAACACGAAAGCTGCAACCGTTGCTGCCGAGCACGTTTACCTGCAATGGCAGCAGCAACAACAAAATGCAGCACAAAGTTGATGCATGCAACATTTAAAAGTTCATTGCCGTCAACATTCATTATTAATGACAGCGCGAGCAGCGAGCAGCGAGCGCCGAGCAACCAAAAACAAGCAACAAAATGCAATCAACGGCGACAACAAACAGACAGCAACAACAACAGCAACAACATCAGCAGCAGCAGCACGACAGCTGCAGCAGCAAGCGCTGCATAATGCATACAGTAACGCCCACTATTCATGCCACGCCCACTTGCCATTTGCCAACATTTCACGCATGTTTTTCACACCAGCAAAAGCTTTGACCGAGCACCTAAAAGCAGACTTTAAAGTTTGCAATTGCTGCCGCTGTTGCTGTTGCTAACTTGGGCTAAAATGTTCATAAATAAAGCAACCAGCTCTTGAAAAGTAAATATTGTTATTTTAATAATTTCTTTTTGTTTTTTTTTTCATTTCTCGTCTTTATCAGCTAAAAGTGCAAGAGGCCATGCGCAAAAAGGAAAAATTTCAACGTGAACACGAAGAGGTAAGCAAATATTTTCAGTACTTAACCAATATCTATATCGCTTGATTAAAATTTTATCATCAATATGAAAATATTGTCAATCAATTTGTCTTGCCCAATTCCAATTTGATGCAATTGCAAACAATAAAATTGCAATTGTAAACCAAAAATAAATCAAGCATATGCGACTATATAGCATATGTCCAACTAAATATGTGGAGTTTAAGCAAAATAAATAAACAAGCATTTACAGCAATTGTTGTAGTTGTTGATGCTACTGCTATTTGTGCTTGGGACTAACAACATTTTGTTTGCCTAAATAAAACATCAGCAGCTGCTGAAAATTAAAATCCATATCCAAAGCATTTACTCAGCCCACAGTTTAATAACAGCCCCTACGACCATGCATATTTACATGCTGGACAAACTCTTGAATTTGTAGACCCAATTTGAAAAGCTATCAAAATATTCCTTGTGAAAAATAGCAATTATTTTGCTGTAGATCCGGGGGCGGCGGGTCGCTGTAGGGCGTGGCGTTTAGCAAAACAAATGTACGAAAACATGCAAAGCAGACACAGGCGTACATTTATTTATACACTTACACACACATACTGTCTCACATGTATTCACACTTAAGTACTAACACACACAACAACAACAACAAGAACAAAAACAATGAACTGTAACGTGGCAAATGATAAACTTTTTGTCTGTCATAAAAATTATTTTCCACATTTTCAACATTTTACACAGCACCGGACCGAACGAAGGATGCACGAAAGGTGGCACACATTGTCTGAATTTGTGTGTGCGTGTAATCTGTGTAATGAATGGGCGTGACAGGACTTGAGTAAATGTTGTTTGACTTTCAAAAAGGTGCCTTTCCCACAACATAAAAATATTATTGACGCAGTCCAGATTTTATTCAATTAAAAAGAATACACAATAATAAAATTACATGTTGTAGAGCAATAAAGAATATTTAAAAATAGAAAAGACTTATATAATTAATTAAAATTGAGATGAATCATAAACTGAATAGAACATGAAAATACCAATATGATTTTGTATTCTACTCAATTTATGGAAAGAAAATTAAAACACAATATTTTTATTGTTGCGGTTTATTCATATAAATCATATATTTACCTATAAAGATTTTATTATAATTAAACAAGAATAAAATAACAAAAATTAAAAAAATTGTGGGATACAAGAAAATGCAAGAAATAGAGATTGAAAAATAAAAGAATATAGTATTAGAATATTAAAAGAACAAAAAACTGAAACTAAATTGAAAAAAATTAAGGCTTAGAAAAGAATGTCAGAATCCTTTAACTAGTATCATTTCCTGTAATTCTATATATTTATATATTTGTATATCTATCAATATATATAAAAAAAAAATATTTATATATACAAATAGATAGATACAGAAGTAGATATCTGCATCCAACATATTCAAGCTAAAAGATACGCAACGTACTTTACAACTAGTCCAGGCCCAGCCCACAACAGTTTCATTTTCTATACATGCTGACACGTGGAGTTGATAAGAACATCTCTTATACTTATCCGATTTTCAATCGAAACTTCGCTGTGCACAACACATATTCACAGTTAATTATACAAAGCCTCAGTGATCAGCTCCGACGGGCAGTCGTTATTTCATTTTGCCCGACTAAGCCCAAATAGTCTCTACAATTTCGTAGCATACTTTTGCTGCTGCTGCTCTTGCGGGCCGAATTGCAAAGCATAATTCTTGCAGTTACCAAAAGCACACGCTCACGCTCACATACACGCGCGCACACACACACACATACACACACATGCGTTTAGTGCACGACAATATGTCTGTTTGCATGTCGACGACGTGTCCGCCTAAGCAAAGGCAATAATTTTTGTGCATAAATGAAAAGCACACACACTCACACACACGCACACACGTACACATATAGCAATGTTACTGCTGCTGCTGTAGTTGCTGCTTAACTTGTGCAAACAACTTGCTGTTTGTCTAATTGTAATTGCTGTTTTTGTTGCCAGTGCCTGTGACTGGGTCTCTGCTGTATGTGCCTCTGTCAGTGCCTGCATCCGGATCCGAAGCCTGTACAGGGGCTGCTTATTTTCCATCTCTTGCTTCGCCAAGCGCCGAGAGCAGTGACAACAACAAGACCCGATAAAAAGAAAAGAAATTGTTCATGCTTATGAAATATTTATAATAACACAGAGCGACAACCTCTGACCGGCCAAAAGCAAATGTTTGCTGGCCAATAATTTGTGCCAACAATCGGGCAGTCAATTAAGCACGGCTCCAGAGCTGGGCTAATCACAGCCTTAAGCAACATGCACTAGTCTTGCTACATAAATTTACAACATAGCTGTGGCAGGCAGAGGCAATTGTTGTTCGTGGTGCTGCTGGCATTGCTGCCTCTTGTGGCCGTTGCTGCCATTTAAATGCATTTTTAATGCTACTGCCCGAAAAAGCTTTTAGCTAATTTTTACACTACTTTCTGCTGCTGTTTCCATTTCGCTAGCCCGGCCCTGGCATCCTTTTTAGGCACACACACACTCTCTCTCTCACACACACACACACATGGCATGTTCTTAAATTAGTATGCAGCACATATTGCGCTATTATGTTGCAGGACATTCAACCAACCAAGCAGCAACCAGCATCAGCAGCAGTAGCAGGAGCAATTCAGTTGTGCTACTGCTCTGTTCAAATTGTTTTAGTTTTCAAATGGAATTTTGTAATTTTAACGCCTTTGCCGCTGCAGCTGGCTCGAAAGAAAAGTAGGAAAGGGAGCAGAGCGAGCTAGTAAATCCTTCCCAGCCAGAGGCAGCTGCCAGGCAGCTGACGAATAAGCTGAAACTTCATCGCCTGCCAATGCTGAGTACGTCTCGGGTCTCTTTTTATTGTGCACAGCAGTCACGTTCTTTAACATAGACAAAGTGGCACCTACCCAGCTCCTACGCCCGGCTGGCGTACCATATACAAAATTCTTGCCTTTTACATGCCGCATCTCACATTTGGCAAAGCTCATAAAGTGCACTCATTTATGCCTAAACTGGACTTAAGCCAAAACTCTGGGGAATTTGTGCACTCGCCCAGAGCTCTCATTATTTAAATATATATAATCTTATAGCTCTTAGGAGTCCGCATTTATTTTAATAGTAACGGGACAACAAATGAAATTTCAAGAAGTCTCACACATGAGATTTATTGTACATAATATTCAATATTATAATGCTTAAAATATAATATAAATATGTTCTTAATAATGCTTGCAGATCTTGCGGGACATTCGCCAGGGTCTACTGCAAATGAGTCGTGGCGAGGGACGCACGGGTAAGTTGTTTACCTACACTACACCTCTCTGGGCTTCCTCAAAGACCAACAAAAGTATAAAAAGATTTCAATTAAATAAACCAATTGCCTCTTGGCCCTGGCCACTTGAGTATTGCAGGGTGGGGCGGGCGTTGCTTTAAAACTTGTCTCAAGCCAAAACACTGTCTACTCTAAATGTCGTTACCTTGGGCGTGGCGCCGTCTGGCGAGCGTCACATGCATAAGCGAGCATAAAATCTTATGTCCGTTTCCGGCTGCAGCAACAACAAAAACAAAAACAACAACAACAGCAACCTAAAGCAGCCGCCGTGCAAGTGTGCAACTTTTTGTGGCAAATGGCATTTCAAGTTTCGTATGCAACGTTGCGTATAAAAATATCATGTGTTGCCGGGCAAAAGTTTAAAGCACCGCCACAATGACCATTTATATGTCGCTGTTAATCCTCTCCTATCCAATCCTCCCTGACTAACACCAAGCAAATGGCAAAACGCCTCACAGTCTATCCCTTTGCAGATGATACGTACATGTACGATGAGGCACTGAGGAGTGGTCCGGGCGTTGCAGCAGTGGGTGGTGTGGCAGGTGGTGCACATTATGCGGTCAGTGCGCTGCACCATCAAGGTCATTGGTACGATGAGCCGCCCTACGAGAGCGATCCCGATGATTTTCTTATGGCCGGACTCAATTGTGGACCAGCTGCTACCATACAGGTAAGTGTGGCTAAGTGTGTGGCTGTGTGTGTGTGTTTAAGCCTGTGTGTATGCTCAGTAGTATGGAACAGAATTTGCTGCTTGTCTGTGATTTATGCACGCGGTTCACCAAGCACTTGGGCCCACTTATTGGCAGTCGCTTAAGCCAGCTGCCGTAGCATTTGCAGTTGCGAGGACAATTGCTAGGCAGTCGCCTGATAGCTTGAGGCAGTTTCTTTGCCCTCAACAATGTCTCTTTTTTTCTATTTTTTACTTTTGCTCCTTTCGATTTATGCAGCACATTCGTCTTTGCTGTTAATCCTAGCTGAGACGGTGCCACGCCTTGTTGGTCGCTTTGATTTCTCAGCGGATTCAAAGCACTTTGTAGCATTCCCTCTCTCTCCCTCTCTCTCTCTCTCTCTCTCTCTCTTTCTCTATGTCTTCCACTCTCTGTCGCTCTTTTTTATACGTTCTCTTTTTATTTGCTTTATTAAATTATACGCTGAATATATTTTGCCTGCGCATTGATTTCCAACTTCGATTTGTATGTCCTTTGGCATTTTTTCTCGACAACTCTCAACAGCAACTGCCTCTGCGACTTCCACTTTGACTGCGACTGCGAGTTGAACTTCAACTGACTTTATTTTTATTGACAGTCAAAAAGTGCATAATTCTTGTTGACTTGCTCAACCCGGCGACGACGTCTTGAGACTTTTCCTCAGGCTTTGCATAAAATTTACTTTTTCCCAATTTTTCTTTTATTTGCCTTGTGATATGCACAGAAGTTGCGCTTTTGTTGCTGCGCCTAAGAGGGGGTTGAATTGGGCCTGGGCTTGTGCTGGGGGTTGCGCCCATCGCTTTTGGGGCGAACGCAGAAATTTTGTTTTCTTAGTCAATTGAAATCACTCAGCAGCGCGGCTTCGATATGCTTGAGCCGCCCCTTGTGGCCTTTCAATTTCAGTTTTCGCTTTGATGTGGCAATACGCAAAGGATCTGCAACAACAAGAACAACAGCAACAACTTTAGCGAGGAACAAAAATTTGTTTAGCAAAAAGTTTTTTGCGGTTTGCGCAGCACTCTGCCCTCAGCCTGTCCATAAAAATGTGAAGCGCACAATTGTCCCTATTTGCTTCTGCTGTTGTTGTCCAGCGAACCGCAGCTTGGCCCATGTTAATGGGACCCCAAGCACACAAAATAAGAGTCCAATGCATGGAATTAGCATTCGAGCTTTGATGATGGGCCAGCATGCCAAAAAGTTCGCAACATATTCATTATCTATGCGCCTGCCAGCCACTAACTCGCAACTTTGCTGTGGACAGCAACTGGCCTTATGAAGCATGCCACAGCAGCAAGTATACATGCACCGAAAACTTTGCAATTTACATGTCGCCACAAATTGCGTCAAAAACTGAAAGTTGATGTAATTGAGAAGTGTGTGCGTGTGTGTACGGGTGTGTATGTGGCATTGCTTCAAATTTTAAAAAACAACTTTGCAATTTCCGCTGCGTTCGAATAAACTAAATTTAAAATTCCAAGCAAAATAAAAATAAGGCAAAAAAGCCCAACAGCCAACAACCAGCAATAGCAGCAAATCTCTGCCAAACAACAATAACAAGCAGCAACAACAACCATAGCCACAACGGCCCAAAAGTAAACTCAACTCAGCAGCAACGCGCGGCGCATTAAGTTTTATAACTTTGTTAATTTTTCATAATTTGTTGTTGCTGCTGCTGTGCAACAAATTCTACTTGAGCGCTAATCCGCATGTTTCGCTTACTTTTCTCATATCTCTGTCTCACTCACCAACTTTCTTCTCCTCTCTCTCTCTCTAACTTTCAGGGTGGCCGCGTGCGCTTCTCGAACAACCGCGAGAGCACGGGCGTAATTTCATTAAGATCCGCCGGAGATATTTCACTACCGCAACGCGGACCGCCGCGAAGAGGGCTTATCGTGCCGCAGCAGCCGCCAAATCCGCCGACAATAATACCGTTAACGCATGCCAGGTGAGTGTTGCCAAAGTGTCCAGGTTGGGGTGGTTGAGAATAGGGTCTTGCTGATTGCCATTATTATTTGTGGGGCCAAAGGCAACGCATTAATAATACAAAAGCAACAACAGGCGATGGCAAAAAGAAAAAATATAAATACGTATAGTAGATATATAAGTAGGGTAAGATGAATGCCGGGCAGTTGTCGGGTTATATCTGGCACTTGCAGGGTGGCTCAGCCGTAACCCTTTGACCACTTCAAAGCGCTGCTCAGGAAAGCTCAGTGAAGCACAAAATGTGCCACAAATGTGTGCAGTGTGGCATGAAAAGGCCAAACATTTAGCTCTGTAAACAACCCAACACTAATAGCTGACCGAACCGATTCAAGCCAAACCAAACCAAACCAAATCGAATCTAGCCAAAGCAAAGCAAAGCAATCAAGCAGCTCAATTGCTGTCCCGTAGCTGCCCCCTTCGGAAGCCTCAAATTTATTTGTCAATATGAAAAGGTGCGCAAAAGGATTGACCCGAACAACAGGCCAGCCCCCCCAAATAAAAAGGTAGCCTCACTTCATTAGTGCCGTTATCAACATTTTGCAGCCACATGAATAAACGAGCCAAACAAATGAACGAACGAGCGAGCGGGCGAGTGAATGAGTGAATGAATGAGTGTATGAATGAATGACAAACTGACTCTTTGAGTGTCCTGTCTGACCGACTGCTTGCAACATATCGCAGCGCATTGGAGCGAAAGTCATCAATTTCATATTGTTACGCATGCCACAAAGAATAAAACATGGACTGTCAGGTGGATGGAGCGTTGAAGCGGGCTGGCGGCCGAATCGGGAGTCTGTTTCTGGGAGGCGTGTCAGTCAGCTGGCCCCAAACTAATAAGAAGTCGTCGACGTCTGCAATATTGGCCAAACACACAGACAGCGAGGACACTTGAATGAATTGGCATTATTGCTACTTCAACGCGGCTCCAGAACACTGTGCAACACGGCTCGTCAATCAGCCGGGACAGTCGACAGTCGAGACTTGCCAGTCGCCAGTCGGTCGTCAGTTACCAGTTGCCAGTTTCCAGTTGCCAATTGGAGAACCGTTTTCCACACGTACGCACCGGCCAACTATACAAAAGACGTGGTGAAATAACTTATACGCCCTGTGCGCCCTCAGGTCCAAAACAAAAACTTTCTTTGCCAAATAAAAGAACAAAAATAGAAAAATAAATGAAAATGGAAATGGAAAAAGCGAAAAAGCGAAAAACGAACAACAGCCAAAAGTGAAAATCTCAACAGTGTTAAAGTCAAATGCCCAGGCACAACAAATAAAAAAGAAAAGAAACAGAAGTAGTCGAAAAAAAGGTATAAAATATTTATTTATATGAGCTTTTGCTTGCCTGTGGACCCGAGACCTTTGTGCCGAGTGTTATTATTGCTGTTGTTGTTGGCCTTGTGTACACATATTTGTTTAGCAGCAACAAAATTCTGGTTTGAAATCAAAACGGTTACCATAAAGCTTTTCAAGTGTTAGCCAGAATACAGAATACGAACGGTATACGGTATAACCCTGCTCAACTTTCGTCAGTTTTCTTTGGCAGCTGCTGGCTCCTCAAGGTGAAGATGAGCAAATATTTGGTATATAATTTAAATAGTTTGCTTAGATCTCAACGAGCTGAGAGCTGCTGCAGGTCCAATTGAGGGCTAGCTAAAAGTTTTGTGAAATATAGAAGAAGTTGAGAAGTTGGTTCTTTAAAAAGTTGTAAGTTAAAACAAATGTTAAGCTACATAAAAGGTAAGGAACTAGACCGAGACAAATAACTTAATAGGAACATATAAAACTAAAATGATTAAAAAAGTAGCGTTGTTCCAGTTGTCGGCTAAAATCTGCGCACCGCCTTTGGGCTTGGCTTTAGTTCCAGTTTCTGGCTCGAAGTATGAAAAATAGGTTTTAATTAAGGTTTGGATTTGGTTTGGCAAAAAGTGAGAGAACGCTATATATAGCTTTTGTACATGTATGTACTTTTCTTTTACCAAATATTATTTAAATACGTTTACCTAGATAAGTTCTTTACCATAGAGAATAACTGAAGTAGTTACCTATTCAGCTTATAGAAGCTGTTAATGATCGCTAAATGGACTATATTTATCCCCAGCTCTGATTTTGCCTTTACAGGTCTCATGATCGCGAGAGCGGCGACTATGCGGGCTCCATTTCGGATTTACAAAGCGTTACCTCCAGGCTGAGCACAGTTTCGGTGAGTAAGGAAAAAGCCATTAGACGAAGCAGCTCATTTAAGTTGTACACACACATACATGTGTAAGTAGGTGTGTGTGTGTGCGTCTCAATGCGTCGTCTAAATTGATTAAGTGCACTTAGTGACAAACAAAGTTGGCAACGAACTGAACGACCAGGAAGAACAACAAAATGCACGTAGACTGTATGCGAGCATAAAAACTGGAAAAGCTTTTTAGTTTTCCTTTTTGACTGGAGCAATGGCAGCTCCCAGGGCAGCCACTTAAGCCAGCTAAACGATGTCGATGTGCCGGCACTTGTTTCCCTGCTGGCCATTTTATTTGCAAACCCAACTTGACTCGTCTGTTTAATATGAAACGCGTTTAACATGCTCTGCCACTGCTTCTGCCTCGTCTTCCACAGATTGGCACCAACAATTGCACCGCCAGATACCGCACGCTTAGCGGCGGCATTGGTGAGTCGCCGTCCCTGTCACCGAGTCCGTCATCCGATTACGAGGACATTGGCGCCACAAGGCACGGACTGCCGCCGAGTTTTGCAGCGAAGGCCAAAAAGAATGGACTGCCGCACAAGGCGAATACGATTTGTCAGAAGGCCATGGTGCATCATGTAAGTTAATTAATCAAATGTATGTACGTGTATGCATGTGTGGTTGTATGTGAGTGTGATTGCAATTGCATTTGCAGCATTCAGCTTATTGACTCACCGCAAATCTGTGAGCTGCAAAATGTAATTAGCTTGGGCATTTACATATGCGCCTGATTGGAATTTGTGAGCGCCTCTATCTAAGCCACTTGCAATTTGTCTACGGCCTATGCAGAAAACGTTTGCCAAAAGGACCAAAAGGCTCAACAAAAACGTGGCGTAAAGGGCGCGGGAATTGCTCGCCCGGACAACGCTTGAACATGCACTCTAAATGCAAATGCCAGTTAAATGAGTTTTTATGCGAGCCCAAACTCTGGGCACGGACATGCATCCGGTCACGTGGTTCGCATCCCTATGCCTATGTGGCAAACCCAAAAAGTGAAAGCTCATTTTTAGTTTACGCCATGGTTACTTGACGCTGCAGTGGGCAATGCACAGTAACCAGAGAAGCTTGAACACAATTGCATATGGTAAAAAAAATATATATAGTTATATAGGCAGTTGAAGAACTGATTGGCGTAAGTTTCGAGTAATGTCAAGAACCACTTGTTCAAACCACGTTTCAAACGACCACACCTGACCTAGAATATATCTTAATAATAATATATTATAGTCAAAGGATTAGTTTTCAGACTCCGTTTATATTTAATGTCCTTGTACAATTTGGTCATACAAAATCTTTTGCGTATTAGGGTCTATGAATCATGCTCCTCCTCCCATTTCGTCATTTTGTTCTCTCTGTTTGTCATTTTTCGGTTCTCTTCTTTGGGAGCGTCGGGTCTTATTTGAAAGTTCTTGAATCCGTAGTCTCGCTTCTCCTCGTCCCTAGTAAACTCGGCTTTGACAATATTACTCGTGGGACTGCCGGTATTGCGGAGCCACTCCTTCATCAGATTCACCTCGTTCCGTGGACCCTCGATATAGCCCTTGACCGTACCATCTGCCGTGTTCATGCACCAGCCACGTAGCCCCAGAGTCTTGGCCTTAATCTCAGCATGACGGCGAAAATAGACGCCTTGCACCTTGCCAAACACTTCAAATTCACAGGAATGCACTGTGGACATTGTACTTGTACCGGTAAAAGCTTTCTTTTTCTGGAGTCCAAAACCAAACAAAAAAAAAAATACAAAACAAAAACAACACAAATTTTGAACCAATTTATAAAACTTCAAAAATTTCAAAAAAAAAAATAATAATCTAGTCTGTTACTAAAGTCAAGGCGTACGATGCCGAATAATGGCATATCTGAAGGAAATACATAAAACCAAAATGTAAAAAATACGGAAAAACGTCTTAAAAATATTTAAAAATACCATATTTTGTGGTTCACAGAAATTCGTAATCGAAATACAGGGCATCCTGTACTCGAACCCGTGCCTCTATTACTCTGACTTTGAAAAAAAGAGGTTTTTTTTTCAATTCGAGAATGCAACCCAAAAATGTTGCAGACAACTTTGCTGCTTTGTTAGATTGTGGCAAGAGTTTCAATCGGCGCCTAGGCCTGTTGACTGTGCGAGATATGAGCAAAGTTTTGTGCCAACAGCAGCAGCTTAATATTGACTGTCAAACCTCCCAAAAAAAGGGTCAAAGCCAAAGCGGAAGCACTGCAGCCAAATCCAAGATTTGAAAAAGCTTGCCACTGTAAGGGGTCTGTCTGTAAGTGTAACTCTTGGTGTGTGCGTGTGTGTATGGGGGAATTTGTGTGGTAGCATTAAACTTTTTAATGATTTAACTAACAAAACTTTTGCTCTATTCTATATGCTCCCACTCCCACTGCTGCCCCCTGCCCGGCTCAACATGCAATTTATTGCACAACACGACGACGGCGACTACGACGAAACAACTTTCACTCTGGTGTTGCTGCAGTCGAGCGAAATGCGTAGCTCGCCAAAGGAAATTGGCGCATTTAATGAGAATGGACGAAACTTTGTTGCCACAAAGGATACATCAAGGGATTTCAGCAATTCCCAAGATAATACCGACCGTGGCAGCATGAGCGATCAGGCGTTTGCATGTTCCGCCAGCTCCGTTGAAAGTTTGCCCAGTGCTTCCGGTTCGAGTAAGTATAAAGCTCTAGATAACTATTTAGGTATGTGAGAATGTATGTGTTTGCGATGGAGTGTGTGTGTGCTTACAATTTAGAGTTTTGATTTTGCTTTTGCATTTACTTTTTATTTCGCTGGAAGCGTTCGCCTCGGCTCTGGCGGTTTGTTTATAAAAATTCCCAGACTGCCGCCCATCAGCACGCCCCCATCCGTTCGTGTTGCATATTGGTCTATTAACAGCTGTAGTTGTTGTTGTTGCGGTTGTTCTGCAACCGCTGCACAATAACTTGAAATTTTGCAAACTTAATGAATTTTTAATGCACTTCCGCACAGTCAAGTGGCAACTGGCAACTGGCATCTGGCAGCTGGCAATGTGGCAAGTGCATAGGCCAGGCCATGCAGCCCGGTGCAATGTCTGGGGCGTGGTTAAATAAAGGGCAGCCGTTGAGGCAGCTGCTGCTGTTGCTGCTGTTGCTCAGTTTTTAATGAACAAAAGTTTTCGCTATATGCGCAAATTTCTACACTAAATAAAGAAAAAAAATACAAAAAATATACCAAAACAAAAAGCCAAAACAAGGGCCTGGCTGGGATAGTCGAGGGATGAGGGACGAGGGGTGGGTTACAGGAGCAACTTTGAAAAGTGCAAGAAAAAATACTTTATTTTCATGTGGCCAGGACACAAAGCAAGGATTAGCCAAAGCTTTGGCCAAAAACTTCAAGTGCTTATTTGAATATTTTCTGGGCGTAACGGGCTTTGTGTCTGTGTCCACCAGCCCCCTCTCTTACCCTCTCTCTCTCTCTCTCTCTCTCTCTCTCTCTTTCTCTGTCTCACTCTCTCTATGTAAGAGTGTGTGTAAAAATATTTGAAAAGTTTTTAATTAACCAAACGAACTGTGTGTGCGCGTGCGTGTGTGTGTGTGTGCGTCTGTTTGTGTGTTTGTATTTTGGGCACTGCCAAATTCTTTAGCCCTTGGCTAATTGGCTGTGGGCGCATTAATTGGAAAATTTTCTGGGCAAACTTCCATCGAAATTTTGTCGAGACAAATATTTAAACTTGAAACCATCCATTTTGGACAGGCACTCAGGCTCTAGTGCGTCCTGGCAGCCCGCACAGCTCCATTTCAGCCGAGGATCGCACCTCCTTGGCGTCCATTTGCAAGGCCAAGGCACTTGTCGACAGTCTGCCCAATCCCTACGACAAGGAGGCGCTTAAATTCAAGGTAAGCCGACGCTCAACTGCAACGAGTTTTTTAGATTCAATGCTTCACTTACCACCTGCAGAAGGGTGAACTTATCGATGTGCTGTCGATGAATGCCTCGGGCATTTGGAAGGGTCGCTGTCATGGCCGTGTGGGTCACTTCAAGTTCATCAATGTGGAGGTGCTGCCCGAGCAGCGTATGAAGAGCTCTAGCAGCAAAACCCTCGCGCCAGCCTCCGCTCGACTAGCCAGCAGCAACAGCGGCGGCAATAGTGGACCCAGCTCTGTTGAGGATCTGCTGATTCGCATCGGCCTCAAGGAGTACACCTCGGTGTTTGTGCTCAACGGGTAAGTGGTGTAGATGAAACAAATTTCACAACAAATTTTTTGTTGGATTGTTTCACCTATCGTTCCATTTGCAGCTACGAGGATCTGGAACTGTTTAAGGAACTCGAGCCGGCAGATTTGGATTATCTGGGCATACTCAACCAGGAGCATCGCGCCAAGCTACTGACGGCCGTGCAGCTGTTGCATGACATTGAATGTAAGTAACTGCGCCCGCCTTTAACCACGCCCCATGCCTAACTATCAATATGTATCGCCGTATGCCCGACTCCACATAATCCACACCCAACCGACTTACACTCACATACACACACGCACCTAACACAGCTACAAATTTCGCACGCACAGGCTCCGACGTGGACATCGCCGGCTCCAGCTCCGAGAACGACGAGGCGCGCCTGAACAATATTAACAAGAAGCACGGCGCTTCGCCCTTTGGGCGGCGACACTTTCCGCGCGATTCCGGCTGCTATGAGGGCTCGCCGTTACCGAGTTCACAGACGCCCACGCAGACGGTGAACTCTACGGACGAATCGAACAGCTTGGACGATGTGGTGTCCAAGTGTTCCAGCGAGATTATGAAGCGGGTGGAGAGCGCGCGTCGCTGTAAGGACAATCCGTTCAAGGCGACGCTGCCGGCGCGCGTCGGCAAGAAGTCCTTTCTTGGCGGCGGCGGTCTTATGGGCGACGACACGCTCACACGTGGCGGACTCAGTGAGAAGTCGAGCGATTCGGGCGTCAGCAGCAGTTCGCTATCGTCGGGTCCGCTGAAGAGCAGCACTTAACATTTGCCAACCATACTCGCCCACGAGCTGCTGCTGGGCGTGGGCCAAGTGGGCGGTGGAGGTGGAGGCGGCAGTAGCTTGGGTGCCACCTCACCCACCACCTCGGTCGCCTCGGCCAGCATGGTGGGTTGCCCTAGCAGTGCCAGCAACCTGAATGCAACAGCGCCCCTTGGCAACATTTGCAACACACTCCCGCATGCCCCATCCAGTGGCAGCAGCAGCACGCTGGGCCTCTCCAGCAATGTGCCCCTCAATCGGAACCTGGTGATGCTGCGCAATCACTTGCGCAAAAATACCAGTGCCAATACGGCACCAGCGGCTCACGACGACAAAGATCAATAACAACCCATTTATCACATACCGATATTAGCTTAGGTTCTTGATATAACTGTATCCGATCTTTGATTTAGATATATGTATGTATGTATTTCAATTGCTGTGATTCGATAGTGAAAAAAGGCCAAGACGTCTTTCAGTTCAAATGTATAGTGTATAGAGACAGATAGATAGCAACAGAGAAAGCAAGATAGAGAGAGAGAGAGAGGGAGTGAGAGAGAGTGAGAGAGAGAGAGAGAGAGAGAGAGAGAGTGAGTGAGAGAAAGAGAGAGAGTAAGAGAGAGCACACAAAGCAAAGTCAGTTAGTCAGTCAATCCTTCCTCCGATAATGTTGGCATTTATATATACTTATATATATAACTATATTTATATTAAAAAACAAACAGAGACAGAGCTATATACTTAGTAATGTAATGTAATGAAATCTTTTAACTATTTTTAGTTAGCAAGATGTAAAGAAAACATTTTTTAATTTGCCATTTGCCAATCGTTTTCTATTGCTATGTGTATTTCGCAACGTGATATTGTCAAACGTCCAACTTGAATTGCAGTTTTTAATTAATTAAACCACGTTTTACTTGGTGCGAGGGGAGCCTAAAACAAATACATATATATACAAATAATTAATAACTCAAGTTGATTCCTATATTAAGGCACAGAGTATGCCGGCAATAGACCAATTACATTTTAAAAGCAAATTTAAAGTCAATATTTACACCAAACAAATAAATTACCAATAAAAATTAAAGACTATTTATATTTCGTCAAAACTCATTTTAATTGTGTTACTTTTAAATGCGAACATTGTAAAGAAAAAATCAAATACACACACACACACACACAAACACAAATCATGATGTATCCGTCAAAATTGTAAATTTGCAAAACCAGCTAAGAAAAATTGTATGCTAAGCAATATAAATTGGAAATCGTAGACTCCTTGCAAGCGATCTGTACATAGATTAGGTATTATTGCCATTGGAGTGTATATTTATGCCATTTAACATTTAAATAAGTATATATATAGATATATATACATATAAACAATATATATTAATGCATATATATATCTTAACAATTAGCAACTTGCCAGATATTTAGCGATAATCAAAAAGAAGAGGACAATGAAATTCGTCATACAACGCGGAACATTTATTGATTTCAAATTAATCAATTAGTTAAATAAATAAATAAATGGAAAAATATTCAAAAGCAAGCACAGATGAGATATATATTAATATATATACACACAAATATAACATATATTGTAGCGCATATGAATATCGAATATACCAATTGACTTTATGTACATTTGACGCAAAAAAAGAAATCGAGAAAAATTCCAAAATGCTTTTATTCATAAATAAGCAACATATATATATATATATATATATATATATATATATATATATATATATATATGTATATCACTATTCATAAAGTTACAAAATTTAAATATTCCCAAAAATTTAAATAAAATTTAACAGGTAGTCAAAAAAAAAAAAACAAACAAACAAACAAAACGAAAGAATAATAGCGCACGTGTTAAAGCCAGAGATTAAACATATTATGTAGGCATTTTGAATTTTTATTTATCTAAAAATACATTTAAGTGTTTCAATTGTAAATTATTAAAGAAATTAAAAACACAATAGTATGCAGAAGAGACCACATGCAGCATGTGCTAAAAGTTTCCATATATCACTGTAAAATTATGTAATTAAATTCGAATATGTAAGCAATATTAAAGTTTAAAATTACAACAAAAAAAGAAAAGAAAGGAAAAAATAAAATACCTAAGGCATCACACGGCAGTTTCAGGCAAGCAAAGTTTAAAACAAAAAGAACTTAAAATATTACAATTCATTAGTATACAAACAATGCAGTCAGCGAACTTTAACTCTCCAGAGCTCCATACATTTTAGAAGAAATTTTCAGCATATAAAAAATAAAACAAAAGAATACAAAGCGGAGCACACAACAAGCTGATGAAAGTTTATGCATAAATCAAGTAAAAGTCTTAAATAAAAATGAACATATCTAAAAAGTATTTAAATGGTTTACCTATTTAACTGGTATGAGTTGCAAAACAGGTAAGTTAATTCCCTTTTTTTTTCAAAAAAGAAACTTTCCACAACATTGTGTCCAAATTGAACCCATTTTGTATTATTAGTGAGCCTTACATATATTTTATACATCTTAAAGGCTCAATTTAAATTTGAATTTACAAATGCTTTTTGTACTGAAATTTTTGTCGAACATACATATTTTCATAAACAAGAGTTATATTTTATCTCAATTCAAATTTTTTTATTATATCGCCTATATCTCAAAAAAAGGTTTAATTGAGTTTTCGGTTCGGTTGTTTTGTCAAAATAGAAATAAAATTCCAATTTTTTTGATATTCTTACCCAACGGAATTTGTTTTTATGCAGAAAAATTTTTAACGCGTGACATTCAAATGGTTATAAGAAGCAACTAAACGATTTTCTAAATATAGCAATTTAAGCATATTATGAAAGTTTTATCTTCAAAGTTTTATCGAGTAAAAGAGACCGCCTAAATGGCTTTAGCTATCATCTGGCCGCTACTTTCCCACCCAAAAAGAATACAATTTCACTGACATTGAATGAACGCTCTAGTTCACATCAATTCTGATTATCGAGCTTCATCTACACGTGAGCCAAATGGGTCTGTAGCTATGCATATATTTATATATATATACGTATTTGTCTGTACAATCTTATCGTATAAGGTGGCGCGCCAGCCCAAAATGAGAATGTAAACAATTCGTAAAGCTAGGAACCGGCGGGGCAGATGGCAGCTCAATGTGAACGGGTAATGGTTGGATGGACGTCGCCGGCCCCTGGTGTCGATGAGGCGGAGCTATCTTTGTCGTAATCTGCGCTGATGCTGAGAAGCTGATTAAATTTACGACACTTGTGAAATAGATCTATCTCTTGAAGCTAGCGCCCACATGCATTATGCATTGTGTTGTTTATTCATAGGGCATTTTTAACTAAACGAACCCACGAACTAACGAACTTTATGCTGGAATTTAGCATTTTTTTCGCCTTTGCTTTATTTCTGATGTCGCTTGTGCGGCCGGGAAGTAAATTTGCGCTTAAGTGGTTTAGTAGATTGTTAAATTGCTTTTGTCTTTCTCTCAGCGGATAAGTAAATGAAAATATGAAAATTGATATTATTGCATTGCACAAACTACGTGGACTTTATCTCATTTTCTGCCACATTTTGCGCTTAGTTTCAGTTTCAGTTGCCGTGCGCTCCGAGTCAGAGCCAGTGCAAGAGCGCATAAATAATAAATTCTATAATCCAATAAAAATAAAAATACCACAGACAATAGAGTTTATATAGTATAAATATATTAACGGTCAGAGGAGTAAATGTGCCATAGAAAAGTAAAAGTGGAGTGGAAATATTCCAAACAGTCTTGCTCAGTGACTTGAAAATGAGATTTATGCCATCTACCTAGGCAGAGCTTTAAATTACCAGGCCTAATTCGTGGCTTATCCGTTTCACGGCTTCGTTTCACTGTGCTGCTGTGTTCCCACATTTAACCACGATACAAAAGGCTATCTTATCTCGCTTGAGCTCTAGACTCGAAGTGCAAAAATATCTAATGACCAGAATGAACTCGACAACTTACACAACTCATACCAAAATTCTTCAATACTAATCAATTAATAACTTTTACCTATACAAAACGTGAAGAATACGTCAATACTAATTAACACTCTTGTCCGCCTAATATAAAATTTAAACGGTTTTCCTAGTAAGACCAGCTAATATTTGGTAACTTGACACATTGCCAACTGCCAACAAAGATAAAATTCTGCTGACCGCTTTTAACATTAACCACTTTTCGACTCCGGAATACTCTGTAGCATATGAAAATAAAGTTAAAAGGTAAGAATTCGACGTAACATCATTTTAACCATGGCGTATATCAAAATCGAACTAGGTTAAATGCAAGTACTCAGAGGTGCCTAAATTTTAAATGCAATAGTCAATGTAGAAGCAAATCTTATGAAAGTTTTCACAATAAAATCGGTAAAATTGGGTTAAAAAAATAAGAGTATAAAGACTAGAAACAACATTTACCTTGATAAACAATTAACAAATAAAATCGACTCGTATGGAGAAATCACAACTAAGCATAACCTGCACAATTGATTCTTTCAAATCCATGGGAAATTATTTTTCTTTTTCTTTGAATTGTCTAACGAACATTTGTTTTGAGTCTTGTTAATCGTTTGTCGTATATAACGCTGTAAACTAAACACCCGATGCTATCAGCAATTATTTTATTATGCTTATGGGGTCTGTCTCCGCTGATAAGCCACCTCCTACAGAGGGCCACTTTTAACACCAGCATTTGCCCGTGCGGGCACTCATAACAGCACCCGCGTGTGTTGCAGACGGTTGATGAGCTGCTCTTCCATTCAACGGGCACTTGACAAACACAATTTGCATGCGAGATGTGAGAAGTGCAAGCGAATAGTGACTGATATCAAATACTATAATATTTCAATGAGATCGAGTTAATTGTATTTGATTTTAATTTGTTCTTAAATTGCAATTAGAAAGCAATTCCATTTAAGAGCGACAACAGCAAGAAACCTTATCGAAGTAGGTTTTATAAATTTCCTTAAGTGCCGTTCACGTTCATAAAATCTATTACTACTCAAGAGTGTTTCAAGTGCCGTGCGTTGTGAAATCTTTCCATAGATCGATTATTCAATTACAAGACGCGAGCATATGTCAAAAATAATAATATCCAAATAAGCTGTAAGTATACTACATTATTTTACAAAAAAAATATAAGCAAGCATTTTGATTAGAAATTCAGACATAATTTTCATTTTCTCTGACTGAAATTCATTTGCTGCTAATTTTAAAGTATATAAATAATGTCCCTTGGTATATGGTCTAAATAAATTTTAATGACACTCGGAAATATTAAGACGCCATCATAAAACACTTATCACATTCACAATTTCTGCGCAGTTTTTGGCCAAATTCTTACTATTAGATTTGAAGCTATGTGAAATTCACGGAATACAATTAAGATATTGCAATAAAGCTAGTTATATCAGATGGATTTATATATAGCTTAAACATCGGCCGATCTTGACGCACTTAGGGCGCAATTAAACTATCAAATTCATAAAACTGTATTGTTGGGCTCCATCGTATTTACATGAGGCGTGAGGCCTTTCATAAAGATAAATGCATCATTTGTGTGCACAGAGGTAATCTTATAACGATTTATGTAGATAGCAACAGCAGCCAACACAAATACAATACAATGAAAGATAAGCTGGAGGAGGTTGTGGCTTACAGTAGAAAAGTGTCTACGACAGCGGCCAGCATACACGAAATGGATTTAGATGAATCTGAGCTGAATGATCCATTCCTGGCGCTCATGGAGAAGGCGGGCAACCATGGACGCTATCAGACACTCTACAATTATGTGTTTGTCGCTGGCCTGGCCTTTGCCGGTGCCATGATCTACATGAACATCATATTGGCGCTCAATATGCCCGAACACTGGTGCACTGTGCCGGGCAGGGAGCTCACAAACTACACGCTGGATCAGTGGCGCGATTTAACATTGCCCAAGTGAGTTGAACTTTAGAAAAGCGAAGATTCAAACCCTGTGCTAAGCTTTTTCCATTTCGAATGTAGACAGACAGACAACCGGGGGAAGGAGACGCACAGCAGCTGTGAAATGTACGATATGAACTTTACAGAAGTAACCGATTTCACAGCCTGGACCAATAGCCGCAGCAAAAATCAAACCACAGGTGAGCAGCACACAGGCACACACACACGCATACGCAAATATATATTGCCTGGCTTTGTGGCGTATGGAAAAACTTGCGTCGATTTTGTTCGCTGTCTTATAAATTTTTACAACTTTGCACTCTAATACATTTTATGGGGCTCTACAATTGACAGTTTGCCAGCACGGCTGGAGCTACGACCAGACCTGGTATGACAGCACAATACCCACCGACCAGAACTGGGTCTGCGCCAAGGATTTGTTTGTAACAAATGTGTTCGTTGTGGGCCGCGTTACGGAGGTGGTCGGTTCATTTATATTTGGACAAATGGGCGATTCGTAAGTTGGCCAAAACTAAATTATAAGTCCATGTGCGCAATTGGCAATTGGTAATTGAATTTTGGCATTTGTATTGGCCCCAGCCTTGGACGCAGCGTGGTCTACTACATTAGCGTCGTCTTCTGCTCGGTGGGACGCCTGGGCTCCGTTCTATGCACGTCCTCATATACATGGTTTCTCATCATGTCCGGCATTGTGGGCCTCACCGTCAACAGTCTCTTTCAATCGCCGCAAATTATTGGCATGGAAATCTCACGGGAGTAAGTTTGCAAAACAAAAAAATAAAAAAAAAATCAAATGAGAAAACGAAAAAGTTTCGTGAAACTAACTTTTTGGCCAGGGAGGATCGCAGTCGAATTGCCTTCTTTCAGAGCGTCGGCTGGTCCGTGGGCACAACGCTGATGCCGCTGCTGTTCTGGTGGCTGCGCCACTGGGAATCCTTTATGTGGCTAACATCGCTGCCCACGGCGATGGTTTTAATTTTCTCAAAGTAAGTCACGCAGTCAATTCAATTGAATGCTCCAACTATTGTCCAAGCTGCTGTCAATAGCCATTCCCATACGCATTTGTTCCCCTTTCTATATCTTTTTCGTTTCTTTTTCGTTACTTTGTTTTCAGATACGTCATCGAATCGCCGCGCTGGTTGATTAGCAAGCAGCGCTACCGCGAAGCCATTGTGCAGTTCAAGAAGATTGCCAAAATTAATGGGCGCACATTCGATGTGACCGAGAAAGAGCTGACCGAAATCTATAGCCTGGACAAGCAAGAGGTAACCTATGGCATGGCCTCGCTGTTTGCCGGCTGGCGTCTGGCGCGAAACACCACCATCATGGGTTTTAGCTGGTGCGTATCAAAAATCCAATTTGCATACCTAACTGCTGGCCATTTTGGTTGATTTCTTCACAACCCATCTGAACCATTACCAGGTGCGTGGTTGCCGTTTCGTACTTCACATTGGTGCTCTTCAGCTCGCGGATGGCGGGCAATCCGTTTTTGAACTTTTTGTACCAGAGCATTGTGGAAATACCCGCCTACATGGTCGGCAGATTCCTGGGTGAGTAGAGCCAAAAAAAAAAAAAAAAACTGTGTAGTATGTACAAAACCGGCCCTTGATTGCCAAATATGCTTATCTTTCACTCTTTGGCATTGGATTCCTCCAACATGCGGCAGGCGACAAATACGGACGCCGCTTTACCAATTCGGTATCCTTTCTCGTCTCCTTCATCACCTGCGTGCCCATCATTGCCTATGCCACGGATGAGCGCTTCGAGTGGCTGATGATCTATTTGGCCACGTTCATCAAATTTCTCAATGCGGTTACATTCTTTACGGCCAATCTGCAGTGCCTGGAGATCTATCCGACGTGCATGCGTCAGACAGGCATTGCACTGGGCACCATTTTGGCGAATGCGATTGGCGTGCTGGCCCCGTATCTGGTGTATCTGGGGACGACAGTTAACATACGCGCTCCTTATTATATACTGGGCACCCTGTTTCTGCTGGGCGGAATCGGTGCCCTGTTTCTGCCAGAGACCCTGCACAAGAAGCTGCCAGACACCATCAAGGAGGCAAGGAACTTTGGCAGGCACGATGTAAGCATCAGCCATCAGGCATCGACGGCATCTAATTTATAATTTAAATTATGCAAAGCAGCCGTAGCCTAATTTCATTTTTCACAAATTTAATTTACAGAAATTCTTCAGTCTGCCAAAAGCGCCGCTGGCCCAGGAAAAGAAGTCTACATCTCAGCCGGAGCTAACCAAGCTGAATCAGCCGGCATTTGCGCCATGAATGAGAAGCTGAAGATGAAGCTGAAGCTGCAGCTGAAGTTGAGGCAGAAAGGCAATTGATTTGGTTGGCCCGTTGTGATGTTACATTAAGTACGCCCCAAGTATTACGAATAAAGTGTTGTTATACTTAACTGTACGTTTGTGTATATGTGTGTGTATGTATGTTTGTATACATAATAAGCCCCACATAAATCACAGAGACGCCGTCGAGAATGAATGAAATCTCTGCAATGAGTTTATCAGCGCATCTGTCAGATATTTACAAATTACCTGCGATACCAATGCCATGCCCTTGGCAAGAATACGCGGTGGGTACAAGAGCGCGCGCGTATGTATGTGTGTGTGTGTGTGTGTGAATGTTGCTTATGCTGATGCTACTGTGGCTAATTTAATAAATGGCTTGGCATACACACGCGTCGTATGCGTAATGCGCTCCACTCGCCTGATTTATGCCAGTTATGTATCAATTTTTATCACCAGTTGCAAAAATGAGCCGCCTCCCACACAGACGCCAAGAGCTGGCAAAGTGTTAAACTGTAAGCAGACACTAACACCATCAGCAGCAATAACAACAACAATAAAAAAGTAACAACAATAACAGGAATGAAAAGTAATGCAAGTAGGATAATAAACTGGAAATTTAGATACCCTTCAGAGCTGCTGCTTTCAAAGACACCAGACATTAGTCTTTTAAGTTATATGCTTAAATCAAAGAATTATATACCTCAAATTCTAGTTTATATCCTGACTGATTTTTTACCTATTCGAATGAACCAAAAATTATCCCAACTCTTCAATCTTTACCAGCCAATATTTCACACAACTATCCAAAAGAGTTGCCATTTTTTCACATGACTTCAACTCGTTTTGCATACATGTTGCAAGCTTTTCAGACTACCAAATCCCTTGTCGGTGCATGTTGCAAACGTTGTTACAAAGTTATAATGCCCGCCAAATACACGGCATGTTTCAACGGGAGCAAAACTTGTTTGGCAACAGGCACGCAGCCAGGCAGACAACGACGTGCAACTTTTATGCGGCAAGGTGTTTCGTTTTTCAAGTTATTTATTATGATTTATTTGCCAATGTGGCAGCGTCTCAGACTGAGGGCTGAGCGAGCTGTGAGCCAAGAGCCGAGACTGCGTCCAAGTCCCGTAGTTGGCGCTGAAGGCCCTCTCTGCTGGCCTGCAGCAGCGATAAGTAAATTGTTTATCCTTCTTGTGAGTTATGTGCTGCGACGCTACGGCCAGCCGGGCCAGCCATTCAGCTTGATGATCAGCTTGATGTTCGCAGAGCAGTTGCCCCGCACAGTAATGGCCCCGGCAACAACAGAGGCAGCAGCAGCTAACATTGTTATGCTTTCATAAACAGCTGAGCGCAATTTTCTGATAAGCCCTAGTCCTGGCTGCACTTTCAGTGTGTGCGTGTGTGTGAGTGTGTGTGTACGTGTGGGTGTGTGCTGCTGTTGCTGGCTATTTGTTTCAATTTATCATAAAAGGCAACGCCGGAAGTCAGCCAATCTGCAGTTGAATGAACGACAAGCGAGAATGTCTTCAGCCAGCTTAGCCCTAAGACGACGGGCAAAGTCCTTGGCACCGACTCTATAGGTTTACAAGGGATTTTGAGGCATTTGAAGCATCAATGGCATCATGAAGCGCTACAGCACAACACAGCAACTGCATAAATATTATGCGCAATTATCGCCATCTGGCTGGCTGCCAAATGCCTCTTGAAGCTTGAAAAGCCGCGTCAATTATTTTGACAAAAATTGTATAGTACTCGTAATCTTGATCGCTAAAAGTTCACAATGGAATAATACACACAAAAACTTAAATGGATATATATTCCTTTTTTAATCTTTATGATCCAACTTTACTAATTATTGTAATTTTTTTAATTACAATCAATATTAATGATCCATACGATACCAAAAGGGTATAACACACCCCAAATTAGACTTTATTTAACCGAGAGTAAAAACAAAATCATCAAAAAATGTTTATCTGAAACCCGCAAAAATTCCGATTGTGGTTATACATAACATACGAGTCCAAGACAGTAACAAATTCCAAAATCGGACTTTATCTATCTCAGATTTTCCAAAAAATTAACACAAAATGCTGACCTCTAAGCCGACCAATACTGCCATACAAAAGCTGCAAGGATATGGCTCTCATTTTAGGGCTGGAGCTGGTTTAAAAAAGAAACAGGTGCCAGCTAATTTTGTTCAAGTGTTTAATTCTTAAGCAACAACCAAATCATAAAATTGCAAAAAAGTCTACGAATATTTGCCAAAGTTTATTTATTTATTTAAATTCAAATACTCAATTGATTTCCAAGCTCAAAAGTATGCAACGAAAATTCTAAACTGTGAATATGAGGTTCAGGTGAGATTCAGGTGCACTTTATTAAATATAATTAATATTCATTTAATCACTTTTAGTGTTTTTAGGTGCGAGCTGCTCACATGTAACTAGCTCAATGTTAGGCAGAACTACTTTGTATATATACAATTAAAAACAAAAAGGCAAATAAATTGAAGCAGAAAATCAAACGCATTTCTTTTATTTTTCATTGGAAACGTCACCCAATCAGATGACAACAACCAGCCGCAAGACAATTCGAATTGGTTTGCTTAGCTTTATCGTTTTTACACCAAACCCTTTTGCAATCAGATTAATTCCAGTACAATTATTGAACAAACCAGTTGCGATAGCTTTCCTTTTCTTCGAGTCACTGTAAATATATTCTGTTGGGTTGCTTAGTTTGGGGAAGCGGCTAAAGTTAGGCGCTTGTGAAATTCTTGAAGCTTTTCATATTTCACTCAATTGGGTATGAATAAAACTATTTGCAATATTTCATGCAGCCAGCTGCCACATGAACAAAATCCAGTCGGGGTAAAAGTACAAATACGGGGAGGGGCGAAGTGGCAGAGTTGCACGTTGGTTGTTGCTGTGGGTGCAACAACAATGATTGCGCTTTATTTGCGATAATAAAACACACCATCGCGCCCTGGAGGACAACAACAAGGACGATGGAGACTTTGGGCGAAATCGAACCGCGAAATTGTAACAAACTGCGCGTGCATTGGCCTCCATGGCAGCGGTAATAGCAAAAGTCAGGACCCAGACCCAGGCACCAGGATCCGGATGTGGCAGCGGCAGCGGCAGCGCGAATGCGAGCGCCAACAAGGATCCGGCTGCATTGCCGGGACGCAAAATATGGCAAGCTGCAAAGAATATTTAAGCTGCGACGTTGCTGCAAATATTAAAGAAAAACATGTGAAAATAAGAATGCGAAGCGAGCGGTATGACAGGGGTTGTGGACGGGGCAGGCACGAAGTGAAATTGTTCTGGATGCTGGCAGAAGGATTTACTGCATATTTCATGTTCACAACGAACCAATTTTACGCTCTTCAAATCCTATTAGTCAATGGCCCTTTGGGGATGCAACGGCTGCGCTAGTTACGGCAGCTGTTCGGCAATGTCTAAAGGGTTGACCGGGGCTAGCGGGGGTGGTTGGGTGGCTGGGTGGCTTGGTTTGCTTGTGTTGCACTCTCATTGTGTTTTACTTATAGACACATGTATATATATATATATATATATATAAGTAATACTCAGGCGACTGGCCCAGGTCAGCTTAGTGTGCCTGGCGTTTCCGCACGATTATGCCTTGTGAGAGAGCGGGTGTGCTAATATCCGCGTATGTATGTGTGTGTGTGTGTGTGTGTGTGTGTGTGTGTGTGTGTGTGTATGCTGGGGGCTAAGCCAGTTTCAGCCCCAAACCTACGGGAAAGGCACTCATCAATCTCACTGCTTGAGCGCATGAATTATGAAAAACGTGCAAAATGCAAACGGAAATTAAAATCTATCGCAAAAAAAAAAAATATATATATATACGAAAACCCTTTTGCCACACACATGAGCTAAGGCGCACACACACAAATATCAACTGCTGAGCCAAAAGAAAATACACAGTTCGTTAAACAAATGCGCGATGTATGGGCGCATAAAATCAAACAAAGCTTAAACAATAAAGAAAAAACGTTGTAAAGACAATTTTATATATTATAAACGAGTAAAGCCGAGTCGGGGCAGGGGTCACCAGCCAGATTTGACAGGCGCCCAGACCGGCCGTTGTCTCCTGCGCAGCTGTTGAAAAACAAACCTCAACTTTTGGTCGCATACAAAATTTCTGTCATGCTGAACGCGACTAAAGCCGGTTGGTGCCTGCACTGATGTCCTTTATTAATTTAACAGGCTTCCACTGCGCCTTTGACTACAACTTGAACTACAACAGCAACGAAATTCAACAAGCCATACAACATATGAGAGTCCATGCATTTTTCATGAGGTGTTGGCTTTTGTGCCCATCACAGTCATCAGTACCAGCAGCAGCCATATTGCAATGCCAAACATCAGCCAGAGTCAGCTGTGGGCCTGCCAGCTCCAGTGTCTACTGCTGCTGCTGCTCCTGCTCCTTGGCCAGGTGCTGCTGCTGCTGCTGCTACTGCTGCTGTTGATGCTGATGTTCTGGCTACACTTGAACTTACAATGACATGTTCGAACTGTGTGAGCTCTGCATATTTGCCAGCAATCCACTGTGCAGGTGCATTCCATTTATTTCTACTCTGCTCTCTGCTGTTTTTACAAATTGCTTTCATTAGTTTTAATGGAGCTGCCTGTTAGATGATATTTGAGACGGTCTGCTTATTTTTGCATATCTGTAAATTTTGATATTTCGAAAAATAAAAAAATAAATAAAAAACATCCTCAGCCAAGTGATTAAACCAAAGTGCTTTGACCATAGACACACGTATGTAAAAGAAATAGTGTTGAAATTTTAAGCAACAATTTAAATATTTAAGCTTAACACAAAATAGAAATGCCTCAAATATTTATTGAACTCCGGAAAAATAAATCAAAATACATAAGTCTGAAGGCAGTTAAAAATGTGCTAAACGAACTTTCGTATTTGTGTGTTTATTAAAAAATTAGATCCAAAATACCTTGAATAAAAATCCTTGAAATTTGTCTGCAAAAATTCAAAGATAATCAGCAAAAAGCCTTTTTAATAAGAAGCAAAATAACGCCTTAATTCCAAGAACTGCAATGAATAGAATGCAAATATTTAATACTCGAACATATTAATGACGGGTTAAAGCTCAACTTAAACACTTTTTACAATTTAAAAACACTTTATTCATTTAAATACGCATTTAAACATAATTTTGATTCAATTTGCTGCAAAAGTGCATCATGATACATGCCAATTTTCTATATATTTTATTACTAAATGCCCTCAGCCATAAGCCAACTGGCATACAAACATATATTAAATACACGTAGCATTTGTCAGATGTATCCTAAATGTTTATTCAGAATACATATAGATGTGTGTATATATGGAATATTTGTATATATATATATACCTGCTCGCATGTGTGCCAGTTTTTTTAAAACAACGTATTTATATTTATTCGCTTACATTCATAAATATTTGTTATTCATTGCGCAAACATCTTTTATGCTTCAGCCACGCATTTGAAATGCATTTTGGCATTTTGCTTGAACACTTAAATATGTAAATTGAAATATGCATTTATGTATATCTGTATATATATTTCAGTTTTTCAACTCTAGCACTATTAATTGTAAATATATATAAATATATTTGTATCTCATCAATATTTATGCGCAACCAATAAATATACATATATATGTATATATATAAATTTTTGTATTTTCTGTCTCTTCATATATTGATTTTTTATCTCAATTGCTCGGCAAACTCTGATGGCCATTTGAAAATTGGTTTTTTGAGCCAATTGCTTGGTTCTGGCCAATTGTGAACTCGGGCATTTGCTTGAGCAATTTATTATTAACTTAAATATATTGAGAAATTGTCTTGTTTATTTGTAATTCTGATATTTAATGCACTCTAAACTACGCATGTGTATATATATATAGATTTATGCTTATAAACTGTTTTTCTTTATATTTTTTATGACTTAAATTTTATCGATGTCACATTCATTATTTCAACTGGCACTTAACATATGATTATCTATATTTAATATATGTTAACAAAGGTATTTCCAGTGCAGTGGAAATGCTTAATTTAAGAAAGATCTGACTGTATGTGTGACTATAAATATATTTTATTTTATTTTGTCTGCCGTTGCGTATACTTAATATTTGTCTATGCGAAATTAAAATTGAGCCTGCAACAAATTGAAAAACTTACATAAAAACTGTTTCGTTTTATTGCTATTATTGTAATCCTGCGTTTTCTGTTGTCTGCACATTGTATTCCATACACATACATAGTCCATGTATGTGTGTGTGTGTGTGTGTATTTAGTCAAACAATTATATGTATGTAACTGTACTGTACTGTATGTATTGTATATGCTTTTTAAAACGGCGCACAATTTAATACATGACTGCCTATATTGCCTATATTTAATTTCACCTTTTTTTCACTGTTTGCATTTTGTTTGTCTCTATACTATTTCACTATGGCTGGTTGATTTTACGAATGAGTTTTCATTGCATTTAATTAAATTTCAATGATAAAATGATAAAAGGCAAACGCGGCCTGCATGGGAAAGCAGCAGGATTAATTGCTCGTTAACAAAAATTAAAAGCAAATAAAATATATTTTTAAAAAATCTGCATAAAACATGCGATTCGCAATCGAGTATAAGTCCAGGATAATTGCACATCACTTTCCACGACTGAAATGCAACAATTGAAATTAATGTGCGATCAAAATGTTAATAAACACGACATATTGGCGAAATTGAGGTGAAATCGATGGGCAGAACACGCTGCTAATATCTTTAACTTGACTTTGGCTAATCACGACGAGGGCTGCCAACAAACCGGAAACGAATGCGAAAACGCAAGCACGCAGCCCGCATTAAATCGCAATAGTTGTCTAGTGCTCTGTTTTGCACTCACGTAGCCGCTAAATGTTTCAATTTTGGCAGCTCCATAAGGCGCCAGCGGACATTTAATAATAAATGCAGTCGCCAGCCAGCCACAGGAACTGGCATTTGTGAGTGCGCGAATTGCAAGGACAACAGCGTGTGCGCTCTTATCCGAGTATTTTTGTGCCTTTTGGTCAAAATGCAAATAAAATTATAAGCGATTTCAAATTTCAAATGCTTTGCGCCGCTTTCATTGCAAAATGCAAATCTCATTCACCAAGCAGCGAGAGAGAGAGTCCATTGCACAGGCCAGCAGCCAAGCCAGGTCCTGGCCAGTGTCAACTTCGTTGCATACTTCCCAGCGCGACATGCAATTAAAATGCAAAAAAGCCAACGGCAACAACTGCTGCACAAATCCGCCCGCCCAATCAAACCAAAGACCAAAATCGATGCACTCCAGTGCGGAAACGGAAATACGAGTGCCCAAACCCAATCCAGGCCGATGCGTACCAAACATGCATAACCCAGCCCAGGTCCAGGCAGGACCTCAACCAGCAGCAGTTTCTGGATTGTATAGCGTCTGCGGTTGGCGCAAGTTTGCCGTGTATGCATGCGTGTGTGTCTGTGTGTGTTTGTGTGTGTGGTCGTGTTGATTCAGCGTTAAGCTTGTTGGAATTTCGCGCTTTGTCAACATTCCTCGCCAAGTTGCTGATGCATTTGCCGCTAGTTATTTCGCCGTCTAAAGCTGTTTGAATATCGAGTATGGCATATGGTTTGCCCTAGCATGTTCGAAGAAGTTTTGATTGACTTGTGGATGCTTTTAGTTTGGCTCAAGTGTGTACACCCAAAATAAATATAACAAAATCTTTTAGCTGCATATGTTAAACAAAAAGTTTCCTGTAGATCAACTGGCCGTAGGTTTTTTAAATCTATTGAATTGTAATTATTGTAATGGCTTCAATTGCTTGCAGTTCGTGCTGTCTATCATACTATATAATTTAGCTCTTATACTGTTCAATATCACCTTTACACTGCACTTCAAACTATGTTTATGTTTAAATTCGTATTGCTCGCTTAACGTGTGTATCACCCGAACCCGACTAACTAGCTTCATTTTGAGTGCATATTATATGGAATGCATGCCTCTTAAATATGTAAATCTTATGCAGCATCGATGCTGATGGCCGTGTCCTAGGGATGCTTTGTATAATTATTCAATGGCATCTCCGTGGCCAGACTGTGGGCCACCTCCTTGTTGCGTTCGTGCAGGGCAATATCCATGGGTGCGCTGGCTGGTTTCTTTTGCGCAGCTTTCTGAGTCTTAAGCTGTGTGGAAATTAAAAAACAAAATAATTAGATGCAAATGGCAAAGAAAGAAGGAATTGATTAGTCAGTTATGGGCATTGGCATATTTACTCGCTGTATGGTCTTCTCAAAGTCCTGCGGGGGTTCGGGTCGTTTCATGGTGCCGCAGCTTTTCAAGCGCTCGTTGGTCTGTTAAATGCAAACATAAATTCATGGAATAAATAAGTATTTTTTTGCCCATGATTACTTCATTAACCTAAGCAGTCCAGAACTTTGCCAGCCAGACGGCATAAAACAAATCGACACCTCACAACAAAAACCACAATAAAAGAGACGCACACAAGCACACACACATACACACAGACAGACAAATGAAAATGTCAAATGAAAAGCGCCGGCCAACGAAAAATAATGAAAGGCCAAACAGAGAATTTCCCTAAAGCAACATTTCCGCAACAGACCGCATAATGAGAGCGTAGCCAAGTTTAGAATTATACATACGCGTCTGTGACCTCTTGTTGCTGGCTAACCATGGCCGGCAGCTGTTGCCGGGACCCCGGTTCATGGTATAAACAAGGTAATGAGTGCCAAAGGACAACGCACATACACACACACAACAAGTTGGCGGGCCACAATTGTCGCCAGTGCTTAGCCCAAGTCATTTTCAAAATTGACCACAAAGAACAGGGACTCGCAGTCGGAGTCGGAGTCTGTTGCGCTGGGCGACAGCAAATTGCGCTTAAATATTAAATGAACAGCAACACACAAAAAAAGTCACATAAAAAAAGAAGAAGAAGAACAACAAATGGCAGCAACACAAATACGGCAAAGAAACGCCGGACAACAACCGTAAAACACGAAAAGTTATAAACTCTCGCAGGAGCACAAAAAACAGACTCGCAAAACAAAAACACTTTTTGGCACGCCTGAAATAATAAAAACAAATGCGACGCTGTCGTTGGATGTTTGAAAAAAAAAGAAAAAGCACCAAAAAGAAAGGACATTCGTGTGCTGGGAATCTCCGGATGCCAACCGCAAAAAGCCAGCGCGCAAAGGTGCAAATGAGTGGGTGACCCACCGCACCCAACCCAATAAGGCCGATCCCCAAGAATTGCAAGCCGTAGAGCTCGACCGGACAAATCCTTTGCCTGTTCCTGTTTCTGCCACGAGCCCATCCTTGCAGCTCGCACCTGCACAGTTCATATCTCTTTGGTCGTTGTCGGTCTGCTATTTGCATGCAGCACATGTCCATGCTGCAGCTCCCTTGCCATCTCTCTCTCTCTCACTCTCTCTCTGTCTGCCCCTCCCACTCTCCCAAGCCCTGCTCTTTTGCCCTCTTACAATTCTGTTTTGTCATCTCGTGCACCGCACTTCGCACAAGGCAACGCAATTAACGGTAATTGCCTTTTATCGGCTTAGTCCTGATAAGTTTTTTCTCTTTGTTTGCATCTCGCTCCCCATCTCCCTGTCCCTCTCCCCTACTTACACTCTGCTGCTCTCTTTTTCTCTGTCAGCTTTGCAGTGGCTCTTATTGTTGTTGTTATTTGTGGGCTTACGCGGTTTTTATATTTTAATTTAATTTTATAAGTAGCACACGGGAGGCGCCCCCGAGGTCAAAAGTTTGTCTTTGCAAAATTTAGACATTAAACAAAGCGTTCAAAAAGTTTTTGGCCTTGGCTGTCGGCAGGAAATGCTTTGAAGTACATTAAAAAGCAGCTTAATATGCATAATTTACTGTAAATATAACAAACGAATCAAACGATACAGAAGGGCTATCTTCGGCATGCGAAAGATTTAATACCCTTGCAGACCAAACGTTTTCAAAATACTCATAATGCTTTGCCCGTATCTAAGAAACACAGGGCAAATAGTTAATTCCCAATATGGCTAAAATATCTTAAATAACAAAAAGATTTCGTACAAGATCCTCATGTTCGACAGATCGTTCCTATGGCAGCTATATGATATGTATGATATCGGTTCCGACATATGTTCTGTGTGCAACATAAAGAGGGACTCTGCCAAAGTTTCATGACAACAGCTTTAAAACTGAGAGACTAGTTCGCATAGAAACAGACAGACGAACAGTCGTACATGGCTATATCGACTCGGCTGTTGATACTGATCCAGAATATATATACTTTATAGGGTCGAAGATGTCTACTACTATGCGTTAACCACTTCGAGACAAAATTATAATACCTTCTGCAAGGATATAAAACTTAAAATGTATAACTTAAATGTAAAATTTTCAATATAGTAAGATACATAACATATTTATACCCTCCACCTATAATATCTATTTACACAAATTTAGCCTGTACCAATAAAAATTAAATACGCTGTTATAAAATGATTATTGCAGTTATGTTAATAGTCTCTCTACTCTGTAGGTTAATTTTTGTTCTGGGTTTTATTAAGAAAATATCCTTTCTTAAACTAATGTGCGAGTACCAATGAGTACAATTGCAAAATGAACTGCTTTTCCCTTATTTAAACAACCATACAAATTGTGAACTGAAGCTTTAAAATAACCATATTTTACCAATATACCTAAATAATTAAATAGTCAGATACCCTGTATCAAAAACACCTTTGCAATTGTATTTGGGTAACAATAAAAAAAACCATTAAGAGTTACGGAGCAATTAAAAGCCTTGTGCCACTTGAAAACAATGAAATACTCTGTAATATTAAAAATCGCAATACTAATATAATACTCTTTTCTTACTTAAGATTCTGTACCAAAAAATATCTTGATCCAATTAAATTTTCTGTAGAGAGAGCTAGAGAGAGTAACAGCGAAATGATATGTTTTTCTTTTATTTTAATTACTTATATTTAAATCTCTTTCTACTTTCTAACATGTTGTACATGATATTGTCTAATTTCCAGAAAATAACTAATTTAAGCATCTTAACATATGTCCCTTAACCCGCCCACACTCTTACCTTTTCACTCACCTTTAGTTGCATGCCCTCGTTGGCATTGAGCTCGTCTCCGCTTTGCCGCAGGCCCTGCAGGAAGCGCGCAAATACCGTGCGTCGCTGTTTGTTCTTGTTGCGCCCCTCTTAAAAAGGCAAAAAGAAATCAAACCGATATTAAAAGCCACAATCAAACAGTCTGTACGCTAAACATATAGGTACACAAATCTACTGAGAACGAGGACTGCGCAAGCCAATTTAATTGAATTAAAAGCCATAAAAAGTCAAACAGCCGACAAAGTGGCAAGCCACAAGCAGCGCATCCAAAAAGTGTTTGGGTGGGAGACTAACCCCACCTGAAAAGCCCCTTCCAGTTAAATGCCCTTACCTGTTGCCGAAAAATCGTAAAAGAAATTGGTGCGCGCCCCGGGATAGCTGTGCTGCATTCCATTCAAATTGAGCGCCGACTTGGAGTCGATGGCATTGCGGGCCATGCGATTGGCCAAATCGTTCTGGGTATAGCTATAGATCTCGTTCTCCTCGCGATTCGACAGGCAGCTCGATGGCTGCACATGCATAATAAACGAAATGAATTAGAACCCATTCGCCAGGCGGCTCGTGCGACCTGATTAGCTCGAGTCGTAAAAACACTGAGCCGTAAAAAGTCAATGTGCACTTCGCTTACCAAATACTTGCCGGGCACATAAAGCGGCTGGCTGTGACTGGTCGGCAGCACAGAGGAGCCAACCAGTCCACCGCCCCCGCCGCTGCTTCCACTGCTGCTACTGCCAGCGCCAGCGTTGCGACGCGTTAACGTATGCCCCGTCGAGATGCGCACATGTCGTTCCTTCCACTTCGACAGACGCACCTGCTCAATGGCATCCAGGACATCGTCGTAGGGCATATTAATCTGTTTGCTATAATGCGCGGCCAGGCCTTCCAAGTAGCCGCGTTTGCCCTCCTGAGGGAGGAAGAGCCAGAGAAAAAATTTAAGACTGCATAGAATATTTTTTTTATAATATATATAAACTAACAGGAATTACCCGGCTTTGCCCTGGCGTAATTGACATCATATATTCAATTATACACATTTATATATTCATTTTCCCCCCATTTCCCATATTAGATTCAAATGCTTATTTCAATTGAATCCCAGCCGCAATCTAATCTCCCAAGATATTGACCAGGGTCAAATGCTGAGCACTTTGTGGCCCAGAAACACAAGTGTTAATATCTTCCGGTAATTAGCGTAAGTCTGCCACTTAAATGTGTCCTGCTTGACATTCAAAGCGTCCACTGAAGCATCAGTGCATCCTCTCAAGGCATTCTAAATGTCTTTGTGTGTGTATCATGTGTCTGTCTGCTACTGTGGCTGCCAGGCAAATTCATTTAGAGTCGCAGCCATGCAAACATTTGTGCTGAAATGCAACTTGTCTGCAACTGCCAGTCAGTCAGTGATACACACACGCACACACACACACACACAGACTGGGACACACATGCACACACTTGTGTCTGCCTCATCAGCGCAAAGTGCAATTAGTTGAAGTTGCGCGCATCAACATGCCCCAGACAGAGGAAAGCACCCCAGAAGCTAACAAGTCTAGCCTCTGCCCACCGACCCCCTCCAACTCTTTGTAGTCTCGCACGAGCTCAGACACCTGTCAGGCCAACATACGCATACACACACACACACACACACACACATACACAAGCACACGCACATACTAAAGATATACATATGTATGTATTTTTACTTAACTGCATTTCCATTTCACATAATTTTATTGCCGCATTTAAGTTGCATTTCAATTTGCGGTCGGAACGTGATATTGCGCATTCGCCGCGTGGTCCGCACAAAATGTTGCCAAAACAACTGTAAATATTTGTCTTTGAACAGGCAAACTATGTTAAGTGCCCGAAAAAAAAACAATTTCAACAACGCAATTGCTAATTAAAATGCAAGGCAGCTGCTGGATGGCAGCCTATGTCAAAGTTGCCAGAAAACACGCCACAAGAAGCTCTCCGTTTCGTGCTTCATCATCAAAACTGCACAGTTTGGCACTTGTGGCAAGTGGTGGGCTTGACAGCCATGTGCCGCGCCTGCATACCAAAACATTGACAAGTAGCAGGCACTATGCGTGCTCAATAGGCTGCCCCGACCACGCCCATTTGCCCATTCAACCATTCGCCTCAAATATGCAACTTTAAATCAAAAGCAGCAGATAGGCTCATTCCGCATTTATTTACAGCGTATTTCTTCAAATGTGAAACACGGCCCTGAACCAGTGACATGTTTTTTCTTTTATATGTTTGTTTTTCTTCTTTTTTTTTGCATTAAGCTGCGCAAAACTGCATGACAACTATGGATAAAAGGGTTACCAACTGAGCTTGGAAATTGGAGATTTTGCACTGGCTGCCGCTTGACACGCTTGCAAAACTCATCACACTAGATGTGACAATGCGAACATGTCCGCAAAAGTATATATTTCCTTTAATGCACACTTTTTATGCATTGCGGGCACTGTGGGTCGCATGCTGCTAAGAGACAACTCAGGAACATGCTCATGAGTATTCAAAAAAGTTTCAATAACACAAGCGATTTTCAACCATATTTGTGTTTTACTATTATTTCCAACAAAGTTTTTGTATTTATCCCGAAAAAATTGTAACCCTTTTAAAATTTGAATTTTGATTTCCTTGAATTTTTTTTCAGTGACTGTCGATGGTCTAATGCGTAAAAGGAAAAATGTAATACAATATTTGATATTTCAAAGATCTCACTTTATATTCCTAAGATACTGCATTTGTGATATTTATAAGTATAATATCTTAAAATGAACATAACTCGTAATATCTGAAATACAATATTTAAGGCGCATTAAATAAATATAAATAGTAAGACATGCCATTTTATGAATCTATTTATACACAACGAAGCCCATTGTATACATATATAGAACTATTTTGTTCTTTCTTTTCGCTTGCATGTTGCAACTCTTGCATTATGGCCACATTGTTGCCAGCGTTGCTTTATCGTGCGTGTCTAGTGGCAGCAATTTGGCAATGTTGCAAGCATTGCAAAAATTTGTGTATTGGCAGATCATTAAAGGGTTGCAACCCGCCTGGTGACTGTTGGCCTGCTATTCTGCTGCTCTGCTGTTCCCCAGTGGCGTTTATGGCCCAATTTGTTAAGGCCGCCACCATTTAGGGGGGATGACAGGGAAAGAAACACAGAAACAGCACCCGCTAAAATAAACAAAATTAACGCAAGGCTAAAAGCGTTTCCCACGGCTAAACCAGACCAACATATTATAAAATAAACTTTCAAGCGAAAAGTGTACAACTGGCTTCTCGGTGGGCGGTCGATGGGCAATGGCCACCAGGCCAGACCAGACACGCGGTTGGCCACTCGGTTTAACTAAATTAAAATCGTGTTAATTTCACATTAGAGCGCACACCAGGCCGCTGTCAGTTTGGCTGTCCCCAAACGGAGACCATTACAAACTAGAGGCGACTGTCACACGCTGCTGGAACAGCAACTACAACAACCAGGCAGGACAACAAGTCCCCCATGGAGAGCATGCAAATTGCAAGCGGTAAATAAAATGTCCAAGATAAGCCAGCACTAGCTGGGGCTAGCTGGTGGTGGCCATGGTGGTCATCGCCAGTCGAGTACTCACCGGCGAGGAGTATGGATGGGCTGTGAGGCGTATGCCATCTGCCTCCAGATGTCGTTTCATTACCCCCTCCAGCTCCTTCATGGTAATCGGCGTATCGCAGTCGGAGGCAAGTATCTCGTTGCTGTTGCTGAGCGCCTTCGGATCATTGATGAGCACATAGACAATGGCGGCGCCCTTCTCACGCAGGGCACGCACGCTTTTCAGTAGCTTGCCACGGTGCGTGGGATTGTCCACGCCAATGGCATCCAGATCGATTTCGCCAATTTGCTTGCATATTTCCAGCTCATCGTAGCCATTCTCAAGGAAGCTCTCGCCATACTGCGGCAGCCCAATTGTGCGCAGCCACTCGCAAACGATATTGTGGTGCGGCATATTCGCGTATCACGTGGCGGCCGATGGTGCCGCAATGTCCAGCGGTGCGAATGAGACCTTGGGCACTCGGGGCTTGGTGTTGCTGCCACTGCTGCTGCTGCTGGCCGCCAGTGGCTCCAACTGGTTGCTGCTGCTGGCGGCGCTGCTGCTGATGCTGTTGACCGTTGCCTTCATAGCAACGCCTGCAAAGGAACACAGTGGCAAGGATGAGCGAAAAGTGAGAAATGGAAAGTGAAAGCGAACTTATGTTACAATGTGCAACAGTGCGTATGCTTAATAAAGCCTGTCACTTCCGGCTACCTCAAAAGTATGCAATGGCTGTCAAAGCAGCACAATAGCCGGCCTAGACAGGTATATGTAGTATATCAATTTGCGTTAATAGCCATCATTGTTCACAAACTGACAGCTGAGAGGCTGAGAGATTGAAAGACTGCTCGGCCAGCCTATAAGCACTTAATGATAATGCTCGGTCATGTACACGGGCCACTAAAACACTTGAATATGTTTAGCCCCGGAAGCCACTTGCATATGAATAAGCCACTTAAAATGACAGATGGACTAAGCACGCACACACACATTCACACAGAGACAATCACAGGCAGCTGTAGACTTTGACTTGGACAAAAGACAGAAGGAAGTCGTCTAACTATTTATAATGCCCCGGGCAGACAGTTCGTCCTGCGCCTGAAAAATATTTTTGCTTGTGAAAAATGAAATGCAAATGGCTGCTGCCACTAGAAATATTTGCAGCCATTTCCACAACACATTCGTCTGGCTTAGCTCAGGTGGCCAGTCGTGCGCAGGCACTCGCACACACACACACACACACACACACACACACACACACACACACACACACACACATATCTAAAACCCATCTCCGATTTCAGCCCTATGCTATAACGAATTTAAACCTAACGCTCACCCAGGAAACAATGCCCTAATGAAAAGATGTGGCTACAGTTTTCGGTTGCGCCTGCTGCTGCAGCTGTCATTAAGTAGAAAGGTCCAGTGACATTGTCTGTGTGTTGATTTATTCACACACAAATACACACACCCACACGCACATACATATTTATAAGATATTTCATTTGTTGTTTTGTGCCACTTGGGAGCACATTCAGGCACTTGAGTTTGCCATTCCGACTTATTGATCAAAACATGTGCTGCCAAATACCACAATCAACAACGTTGTGCCACATTTCTATGTCATGGGTCGTATTGGATATTTCTTGTAAAGGGGTTGAAACAGCCCTTAGCAATTAAATGTCCAAATTGCAATATCATAAATGATTGCAAATTATTATATCGTAAATATTGCTGGGGAATGCCCCTTGTATGCGTGACTCTTATGCTCATCCCAGTGTTATTTAAGTTATAATTTTTGCCATCGATAAATATGGTACGGATAGCAAGTCGAATGTGAAACATGTCCTATTAGTTCGTCTTCAATTTCACATAAACTTATTATAGCCTTTCAGATAGTATTAAAACTTGGTCATTTGTAAGAAACATTCGAGCCCATACAGTAGAAATATTATTATATATTATTATAAGTATCAAAAGTCGTTGATATTGTCATGTTCGTCTGTTTGTCCATGCAAACAAGTCCCTTATTTAAAGTTATGGTCACAAAACTTCAGTTAGGCTCTTCTATTGGTTTCAAGCAGAATATATGAGAGGGTCGGCCAGATCGGACTACTACAACATATTGATACAATTGTGCGCAGATTGATTGGAGAATTAGGTTCTTGTATGAAATAGTTTTTGTTTAACTAGGTATCTTCACCAAAGAAAAGTTGGTCGGAAAATATGTTTATGTCCGGAAGATTTTAACTTTAAAAACTCCAAGTTTTCTCTGGCATTTAAAATATATTCATTTATTCGGATAGACAAACAGATAGGACAATGAGCATTGTACACCATCAACATTCTCCTTTTCAGAAAATTTAAAAATTTAAAAATTTATAGATTTATAATATTTAAAAAACAAAGACTGTCGTTTATTTATCATTAAGAATAAGCAGTCTCAAAGAATAACTAATGTTGCAGAGTTCACTTATCATACTTTACAGAAGTTTATGTTGCATATTCATTAACACATGTTCATGTACATGATTGTTTATGTTTAACTTTCATTCTTTGAAGAACTACGCCACTGTTTGCAACTGCCACAGTTGGAGCAATACACACACACACACACACGCACACCACCAAAAAGTTTTCTCGCATTGTTAGCATAATAAACACGTAATAAAATGCGTAAGGCAAAATCAGTAAAGTCAATGTTGAAGTAGTTGGATGCTTTCCATACGCTGCCGTTGCCAGACAAATTTGATATCCAAGATGCCGGCCAAAAGGACCACAGCAGCAGCAGTAGCAGCAGCAACAATAACAACAACGAGCGACAGTTAATGAATTTGCTGCAGCACATTCAGATAGCAAACACACACAAGCACACACACGCACACACACTGGAAATGCATAAAATTTCTCGTGCACTCGGGCGGTCAGTGTAATTACTTGCTTGACTGTAATGTCAAAATTTGCATACGACTTTCCCAACGACTCTCGTTAGATAAGCGTCTTAAATTTTCAATTTCATTGTTTATTAAGTGCCAAATTAATGATGTGTGTGAGTGCGTATGTGTGCGTGAGTGTGTATGAGTAAGTATGTGTGCGTGTGCATTTCTGTTCATGCGGAGCAATTGTCAAAGGTGTTTTGCTTTCGCACGATTTCCGTTTGTAATTGCTTATTGTGTACATTTTGTTCAATGCCCTGCCCAGCTGCATGTTTATGAGATTTCCTTAATTTTAATGCATTTGCAATTATGGCATTAATTATATGAAACGTGTGATTAGTTCCTCAGTTAGAAACTTGGATGTACGATAATTGCATAAAGTGTGTGTGCTAGATATTCCAAAAATCGATATTTAAGCTGTTTCGCAAGGTTTTAATTAACTTTTTATTACTGTTATTTATAATCAAATTACCCCAATTTTTAAATGACATTACTTTCTGGTTCATTTCGGCTTTCATATATTAGCCTGGGATGCGCACCTGCAAACTTATTATTTATTTGGGCTAAGGATGTAAGAGCCATCTATTTTTTAAAGTTATACAGATTTCATCTTTTTGTATATTTAATATTTATATGAGCTTGCATACATCATATCCATAAACAATTCTTATACCTACGATTCCAACCTATTTAATTACATCGTCTGGCAATATATTTTTAGTCAACCGATTTGAAAACGAATCAATTCGAAATAAAAATTTCCAAAATGTACTACTATAAACCGATTAAAAAACGAACAAACCGGAATAATTCAAGTTCTTAATCCAAGCACGTGATCATAGATATGGGAAGCCAGGTGAATGAACCTCAAGCCAGGACGTTGTTCGAGGCGTACGGCGCACCATTGACTATTTATCTTGGGCTTGCAGCCCTGATTTTTATAGATTTAATCTTCATAGAAATATTATTTATACACTACTTATTTATATTATATTCATAGGAATATTTTATTTTTATTTCTGTCTGCCTGGTTCATTGAACGAATGCCCACTTTTACGCCTGGTACTTAAACCTGGTACCATATTATTAATAAGCCTGAATGATTATTTTAATCAGCTGCCTCGTCTGCCAATTTAATTCAAAAATTACAAACTTAATTGCACCTATTTTTTTATATTTTTGCAAATTTAATTTTTCAGTTGAATTTATATAAAAATAATGCACTACATAAGCTTTGATATAATTATTTGTACATATATTTGCGTATCTCTAATATTTAACCAGTGCCCATTTTTATGCAAACCAGCCCAAGTAATTAATTTTAATATGAAAGTCAAACATGCTCTAACAATTGTCATATAATTTGCCGTCTAGACAGTGAAAATTTAGTATTTTCAATTAACTGCAGCAACAACTGCGCTGCCACCCGCCAACCGCCAGCGAAAACAATGCACACAAAAAGGCGCACAATGCAGGAGCTGGAACTGGAGCTGGAGCTGGAGCTGGAGCTGAAGCTGTTGTTGGAGTTGGAATTGTAACTGGATTTGCCTGGCTGCTATGTTGACAAAACACACAGCATGCAATCTCTACAAAAAATCGAGAAAAAAGCCAAAGCACACAATGAGAACTGAGAGGAAGGCGAGAGAGATGGCGAAATGCAACTCGGGAACACCCTTGCAGACGCGACTGTTGGGTAACAGGCGCACAGCAAAAAGCATACGAGTTTGTTTTGGGCTCAAGGTTTGCTATGGAACAGCTGGCTGTGTGGCAGGACCCCTGCTGCTGCCGCTGCTACTGCTGCTACTGCTGCTGCAGTCGTGCGCATCAATGTCAGTGCACCTGACGCTGCACTTGGCACTTGCTACTCGCTGCACGGCACTCAGCACACAGCCAGACACCGTGCACCACCACCAGCCCCGCCACAGCAGCCTCTGACAGGCTACGCACTTGCGGTTGCTTACGGCTGGGGAAGCCTCACAAGCGTTTCGAGTGCCATCGTTCCTGTACCTGTGGGCTGAGGGAGGGGACACTGCTTAACAAAGCGTGTGATGTTAACGGATTCGATTTCACTTTTTTTTTTTTCTTATTTTTCAACCGTTGCCTTTGACATGTCTCTTGTTTTTGTTATTATTGTTTTTACTGTTGTCGCTGCTTAATTGAAATTGCATTTGCTGCGTTTGTTTGCACATAATTAAAGGCTGTAAATTATATCAGGAGCCCACGACTTGTTTTGTTGGTTATGCAAATTCAAGACGAGTTGTCAATTGAAATGAAACGACAGGCATTTCTGCGGTTAACGTGCTCACATCATTTATGCTATATTCTACATTCACCCTCCTTACCATATAATTCGTATGCGAAATTTGAATAGCCGCTTCTTACAAAAAGAGCTTTAAAATGCGGCCTTTAAATTTTTCGGTCCCTAGTCCAAAAGAAGGGACCTTTCAATAAAGCCCCAATTTAAGCAAAAGAAAGCAGTTGTTTTCCTGGATT